AAGGTTAGGGAACACAACATTGCCGTCATGTACACGCCATGGGTCACTGATGGCTAGACATTACAAATGGTGATCTCCAATTTTCTTGTGTGATAAAATGTTCTAGTTTGGATGCCAGGTCACGTTTGCATACCAAAAGGACAGGTGCAACGCGACGCAACATTTTCAAATATACATTACTTGGAAACAGGTGTATATTTCAAGATTCATACTGAATATGATTATATATATAAGCAAATGGCAGCTGGTTCTGTCGGACGACGAATCGGTGACCTGAAGTAAAACTTGAATTTTTTCAGTTAGATACACGCTCTACCGGTAACCTAGTTGACTGTTAAAAATGAAGCGAAGTCAGCCGTTTGATAAGTGCTTTTGTTATTTGATCATGATGGTAGATTGTGTCTTTACCTATTTTTGAAGGTCCGTTAATTTTTCAGTTTTATGCTGCTTTTAGTGAGAGTGGATATAAACTATAGCCTGTTTCATATAAGCGGTGTGCTTATCTGAGTGTTTAAAAGTAATTTCCTGTATGTCTTCCTGCTATCGCATTACGCCTCGTAATCCCTATGATAACAAGCGAAATGACTACTACACAGTCTACTGCACGACATAGTAAATGCATTTTTTTCAAACTTACGGATAATATCATTAGCAATTAATAATAAAATAAACAACGAGATTTAAACCCTGTACGTATACCGTTATATAAGGGAGATAATTCATGTGTATTTTATAAAAAACGATTTGGTTCAATAGTATCGGTGAATGAGGTAGTTTTTTGTCTCTTTGGTGACTGGTCACTCTCATACAAAAGGTATACTGTTTTTTTCAGACCCTGGGGGGTCAGCGTCACTGTCCACTGGTTTTGACAAATGACTGTACACACAGGTGGACATGTTCGGACACATGTGACCGGTTTTCGTGTGAAAAGTACATTCTTTCTGCTATTATACATGCAAACTTGTAGTTTATTACCTACAAATAAAGTCTTTAGTATGACATTCCGCGTCTCTCCTGTGTCCACTTAGGATGCCGGAGTTTGAAGATTACAGACGTCATTATGATATAACGAATAGGTGGGTCTGGGACAGGTAAGGTATCAGTACACGTCAGTCTACGTTTGGACCATTAACGTCTTCTCTATTGGCAACTACAGTAACCGCCTTTATTAATGTGTTAGTGATGAATTTAAATATCAGGAAACAGGAAAAAAATATTGGGAAACAGCGTGTTGATCTATGCTTTCGAATTTTCTATGTCTTTTGTAAGATAATGCCCAATTCACCTTATCGTCATAAATAGCTATCGGTATTTCTCAAGAAATTATTGCTCTCAAATTTGCACTGTATCCGAAATTGTGTACACTTTTTGCAGAAAATATGGCTTTCAGTGGCCATCTTGAATATCTGTTTTTTTTACCTTGTTACCTCCAAGAAAGCAATGGGTTGAGTTTTAAAAAATATTTAACGCAGTTTCTATCGTGGTTACCAGGCCATCTTTTTTTTGCTCGTTACCATGGTTCCACGAAATTGAAACCATACCAACTCACAAGGTCATTCTCTATGCATACTCTCTAAGATTGTCAAGCTGGATTTGAAAATGAACAGTTGTCATATCTCTTTAAAGACTTTACATCATATTCGATTTGTATATTGGAACCAATGTGAAATGTAAAGGCAACGCCAAATGGTAACATTTCTTTCTGTCAGGTTTCCCTTAATAATATCAGGAACCGATTGGTGCAGGGTCAAGTCTAAGTTTAAATGACATATCTCCCTTTAGCTAACATTTCCATCGTAACCTAAAGTGATACATTGGGACTGTAGTGGAGGACACTTTTAGTACAGCGGGGCCAAGGTCACAAGGTCAAACGTAGAAGTTGTAAAGGTCCATTCCTTTGTGAGACTAATGATATCAGTAGAATAGACCATCTACTACAGGATATCTTATTCTAAGGCCAATAATCTACTTCAACGTTTAGCGGATTCGATTCTGATATTGACCATTTGACCATATACCTGATGTTTGGTTAGGATAGAAGTGGTGTTAAGAGGCAACGTATAAAATGTACCAGTTAATAGAACATTGAACGCTTAGCACGATTACCTGCATACAGTGTTTGCGTTCTACCATATACAAACGATAATGAAAAATGTCCGTATCTAAATGACGAGTTCATATGACAAGAAGGATTTTTCATTTATCGAATATCTGGTGAGATAACATGGGAACTTGGAGAAAATTTCGTAAATATATCAGAGATTCTCTTTATCACATAACTTAAATATTTTTCGAAACATTCATAGCATTTTATTAGGCAAAATCTAATTGGCGATATTCCGTCACTATATTTCTTTCCTTGGTGACGTCACAATGCATGTGACGCCCTGCAATTATGACGTTATAACGAAAAAAATAACTTTTAGTCAATCAGCTCCGCCATTTTTCAGATCATATTGCCCGTGTAGTCGTAACTAAAATACATTGTATTTGGTATTGTTTATACTGATAACACAGAAATTATGTATTAAACCAGTTTTTTTTTGTACATTTAACAGGACATCAATTTGAAATTCAGTCATTTAACGTCCCGATTGCCATCATGGCGATCAGGAGACCCTTTGCCCTTTACACCTGCTACCTAGAAGGGGTTGTTAATTGGCTGTGAGGTAATCGGTCAATTTTACGAACTCCTGCCCACCGGAACCGAATCCGGTCATCCTTCAATATGTCACCAATTTGCATGGTTCCTTTTTACACTAAAGGACCACCAGCTTTTACACAAACTTGGAAATGCTGAAATTTGTCAAGGGTTTCAATTAAGGTTCTTTGAACTTTTGAAAATGGGTCATTTTCGCCACGCGTAATGGCTGATAAATCATGAAAAGGAATGGAATAGACATTTAGGCGCGTGTTCAGCTGTAACATTAGACTATTACATACAAAGTCTGTCGATATAATGGCCATTTAAGTTTTATCAGCTACTCTTCACAAAAATACAGAATCCTTAGTACTGTTTACTAAAAAAATCGGGTTCTATGCGCCGTAGGAACAGATTAAAGATCCATTTTTACAAATTGTTCTCATTATTTTTAATTGAATATTAATCTAATATCGGATTTTTAAGAAAACTGATATGTGTTGGTTCAACAGTCGCTCCCACTTAGTTCCTTTGTCGTGGTTCACAACAACTTCCCTGTACTATATACAATCTCATATGAAAATAAAAGAATGTGTTTTAAAATTTATCCCTCGCTGAGCGACAAAATTTCTTGCTTTTGACGGATACAAATTTGAAAAAAAAAGAAAAACGCTATGGGTTTGTATGTTAGGACAGCCTTTATTCGTCTGATAACCCAAAGGTATAGCCACTCAGGACTAGACAGATCGGATCAAAGAATTAGGTGCTTAAAAAACACTCGACATCGCTTTATGGGTGCTGAGCCAGTAAATTACTAGACGGATCTTTCTACTTACAGATCATTAAAATCGCACAGGCGATTTACCAGGGAAAAAAGGTTAACATTGGCCAACATTATCTTCTAGATCATCAGAACTGTTAAAACGATTTACCAGAAAAAAAAGTGTGCGCTTTGATTAAAAAAACAACTGAAAGACGGATTAAGATTTCTCCGACAAGTCATCCTTAGCACGCGTTACAGATTTAACCAATAGACGTAGGGATTACATACCACAATTCGTGTCAAATCCCCCAAGTATCGGAGATATAAAATGGAAATCAAATCATGTATATATATTGCACCTGTATATATATATTAAAAAAAAAAAACCTAAAAAACACGCACACAATTTTTTTAATGGGATGGTAATAAATCTGTCTCGTAAAAACATTTTGTTTTGCAACCAGACGTTTCACTGGCATGAATTTGATCTGCACGACAACTTGCACGTGAACGTGCACGTGCAAAGCTCGTTATGACGTCATAGATGACAATAATGTCCTCAGTAATCCAGCAGTATTCCTGGTGAATGTTTACAAATATTTATCGCGACAAGTCTTTCTATTGAAGTCATATTTTTTTTTGACAAAAAAAAAAAAAAAAATATATTTATTTAGAAAAAACTGACACCATAAGTACCATAGAATTAATTATGATTACAACAGTTTAGGATTACAAGTTACCGATTTGTATCGAATATAGAATGAATTAATCAAGGCTTAAGTACAATTAGCGAAGGATGACCTGTAGTCATGACTGACCAGTAGGGTTGGGATGTCAGTTTATGGCACTGACCCCGACCCCCGGGACCTTGTAGAATCACAGATAAGATCATGTCATACCAAATCGTACTTATTCCCTGTGGTCAAACCGCTTTCACTAGCAGAACTGACCCATTGTCAACCTGCCTATTGTACAATGTAGTGTTATAATGGCGGTTGGGCAAGCTGTTATAACTGACCTGATGCCTCAATGTATAGAAAGTCATCCATGTAAAAAATAAACATAACTTGCCCGGGGAGCATTTGGACATGGATATAGACGAATCTTCTCCTTTTTGACCTCATAATTGAATTGTATTGACGATAGAACACATCTAGGTGCTGGTCAGTCTTAGTAATTTTGACCATTGCAAAGTAAATAGTCACGGATTATCCCAACAAATATTAGGAGCTGTGTCAACAGTCGTACTGAATTTAATAGACTGTGGGGTTTCTTCTGTGTTCAATAGATTCCCAATATTTCAACTTTGACCCCCTGATGCTGAGGTGGACCTCAGCCGATTTATTGAACAGCATCCTTCTAATGTGTTAGTGACAAAACCGGGATTTTAATTGAAAACGGACATTGGAAAAGAGGATTACAAACAACTGTACAATCGGGAACGGACATTTAATACAGTCAGATCCCAGTAAATGATGGGCTTAGCAAGCATTCAGTGACCCCTTGTGTACAAATCATGACCACTTGACCAGTGGGACAGTGTCGTAGAGTAAATCGGATTTGTGTGTTTACGTTTCGTGTCATTAAGAATCAGAAATGTATCAGTCTATCTATGAGTTGCTGAGGTCGCGGAGGGAATGCAAGGAAAATATCTACTCAGAGTTCCCAGGTATGTCTCGTCGCTTTATATAATACCTGCGTTTTTAAAGTATTTCAATCAATTACTTCCGGTTAAGTCTTACTACTACTAGGTTTCTGTTTATGGAAACTTGTTAAACATTAATTGTACTCAAGTGATTGTGTTGGAGTATGGGTTTTGATCATTTAAGTCTTTGATTAGAAGTATATACATAAATTATCAGATTAATCAACATTTAAGGCTTAAGTTTTCGTCAAATGTATGAATGTCCCGATAGTAAATTTAGAAGATTTTGAAAATGATACAGTAGTTCGAAAAATATGGAAAATTATCGGAATGACAAATTGTTATATATCATTGATGTTAGAAATATTCCTTTAAGGAACATCCTTCCTAAATACAGCTGTATCATATGTATGTGTTTAATTGAATATCGATTGAAAATATTGCTTAAACCAAAATACCGCATGTATGGTGTAATATGATTTGTAGGTGCATTTTCTCAATAAATGTTACTGTTTAGTAAAAAAAATAATCAATTTTGAACTTGTATTTCCCCCCTCCCCCTTTTTTTTATTTTATGATAAATTAATAGCGCCATGAAATTAAAAACCAATTGCAAAATTTCGATTTTACCATAAAAAGTGATGGTAAGGTCTCCAACGGTCGATAGATTTGTACACCCGAGGGTGATTGTGTTACGTCGATCACTGTCACGGTCGTTTGACCTGGGGGTCTGTTATTCAGGTGTCACACACACAAGATCTTATCTCGTTTTTACACCTCCTACTTTCTCTTTCACTCCTCGGTCGTGAAAATGTGACATTAAAACGGTTAAGGGCTGAAGTTAATTGAATGATTAGGTCCAATGCTTTAGTTCGGCAAAGGTGTAGAAAGGGGCAAACAACACGTTTATTGTATACTTATAAATAATTCGAAGTTGACGGGAAAAGATTAAATATAGTACATTAAGTAAATTCGTTTAATGAAAAAGTTTTTTTTTCTTATTTAATTTGAAATTATGCTGGTCTTCTAGTTTCTTGATTACCAGGTACTTTGATGTAGAGTGTAATTAACTTGTTTGAAACGGCTGTCGGTCGTAACCCTACAAGAAATTGCTTCACCTTACGGAGAAATACCAGTTAATCATTGCCAAGTAGGAAGTGAAATTCTTTGGTCAGTTTGTCACGCATAACATTTTTAAGGTTCAAAACGGTAAAAATGTAAAGGACCGTTGAAGTCTGGACTTGCCCGGAGGCTGAGCGCGCCGACCTTTGAAGTGATGGTTAGTGCAGATTTGATTTACGAGGAGTCTTGTGTTCATGTTTGTTAAACAAACATTAGAAATTGGGTTTAGACCACTGGTCATTTGTACTCTAAATAATGGCATCGTTTGTCATGTGGTCAACGGAAGTCACTTTCGACCTTTGACCATGCTATACGTGAAATGTATCTTTCACGGTTCAAATGTGCTTTCCGACATTTGACAGGGGACTTGGTTTGAAATACACTACATGCCCCTGCTGCTAGAATGTGCCACAGTGTTTGGAGTTGTGGATTTTTACTTAAATTATCATTTCACAGATTTAATTCATAAATCATTTACATGGAAAAGTGGCACATCGTCTCCTCAGTCGTGGAGAACATACTGTCTGTTATCATAAGATCATCCCACCATGTGTTAACACAAGTTTGCCTTTTATGGACAGATAAAAAAGCTATTTTAACTTTCAGGTATGAAAATTCTAAAAGACATATAAATGACTCATACATCAATTTTTATCAATATTTCTTTCTAACAGATTTTTATTTTATTTCTTTTTGTTTTTTTTAGATCGAATGCAAATGAATGTCATGCGCCCCAATCAGCCAGCCATGGAGAGTATACATGTTTATGAAGAGATAGAAAGCATTGCCCAAATCATCAGCCCGTGTAAGCGACTAAAGGTGACGGGAAACAGTAAAACAGAAGAGAAAAGTTCCTCTCTACAGCCTGATGACTCCTACCCAACCAGTACCCCAGATGTTAAACCTGGTCATAAGTCAAGGTCAAAGCCTCTCAAGGTTCTACAAAGTGAAGGTCAGTGCAAAAACTATAGAACTTTTATTTAACTGTTAATATAGACTTGGACTGGTCAAATGTTTTCTGGCAAAAAACAAATTTTAAAGTCGCTTGAAAACTGACAAATCTTTCTGAATATGAGAAATTTCAACCTGACAATGCAGCAAACAAATTGATGATGATCATTTGTGTTTAATGGCCATTATGGTTACATCATAAGTTGACAAGGTAGCTATTGCAATATTGGAGTAGAAGATTTTTACTGATAAGTTTTGCCAGGAAACAGTCAATTAGCTGATGGTTTTACAGCCTGACAATAGCTCTAACTGCTCTTAGTGTAGCTAAACTGACAGCTGGATATTTAAACAGGTAGTTATTAAAAGATAACAACACGGATGATGTCAGAAGTTGGAGTTTTACTGCCAGTTTGGTCCCAGAATATCTCATTTAGATAGTCAGATAAAACCTGATAGTACCACAAGGTTTTATCAAGGTCATTCTGGCCAGCCATTCATTAGTTCTGGTCACACCAGTCCCTGTTGAATGACCAACCATCCCAATTTGGTCCAGGCCTGTGGTCAACTCTCAAAAGGCTTGACCAGTGATGTAATTGTACATGACCAGGGCACCCAATTTACAAACCCTTAATTGTTACAAGTGGATTTTCCACAATGAGCCCTATTCCAGTAAATGTATATTTGAGCACATCTTCATGACCTGTTACTAATCTGACCGGACTTTAATGAGTTCTGTCTGTATCCTGTCCACAACACAGCCATTATTTATACAACTCATTATTAACATTAATCATATCCATAATTATAATCTTATAAACAATCTTCTGTGTATATCTATTGATCTAGATCAGGCTTCCTTACTGATGTATTTCTGTCTCTTTAATTAGACAATATATGTCTTAGTATCTCTCTGATTTCATCATTAAGATACACCATTTGTCTGTGTAAGACACTTCCTGTTTCAAGTATCTCTGTGATTAGACACTACATGTCTTAGTGTCTTGATTTTATTTTTATTAATAAGATACACCATTTGTGTGTGTAAGACACTTGCTGTTTAAAGTTTCTCTGTGGTTAGAATTGATTCTGCAGTTTCAATTTCTGCTAGCCATAAATCTTGTTGTTGGTGTCGTGTCAGTTTCATGTTTCAAGATATTTAATGAACCTGTCTCTTTTGAATTTTAAGAATGAAATAGCATGTATGCTTTAGTGCACATGTCTTGTGACCTGTGAAAATATTGAGAGAAACAGGAGGTAGTTGGTCTCTGGGCTCTGTTAGGGAAGGAATTCATTAGATCAGTGTTAATTATCACCATTAATTAATCTTGTCATTGTAAACTGAAATGTCAATCATGACTGCAATTTGAAAAGTGTTAGACACCATACTTAGTTGGCACTCACAGAGATGTGAACAAGAACTTGTTGAAATCTACAAAAATGTCTCAAACGCTGAAAAATTATTCATGACAGAAATGTGAAAACTGTTAAAAATGCACACCATTAGAATGGAAATGTCCTGGTGTAATTTGTTCTGGTACATTAATATTTATCAAGACCAGATTTCGTGGAAGGTTCCCCCACATCTTGAGCTCCCAGCCACTGAATCTGATCAGTGATTGGTGAGAGGGGTGATGGGTGACACAGGGTCCCAGTGAGAATTCTCAGTGGTATACCAAGGAAATTCTCCAACTAATTGTATCTAATACAGGGGGAGGTCCTACTACACTTATCAGTAAATTGTTTTTCAAATCTAATTTATTAAAATGGATTTGCCCAGCTCAAGACAGGGATATTTCAGCTTATCAGTAAATTGTTTTCAAATGCAATTTGTAAGAAGTGATTTGTACTGTGTGTGTAATGAGTGGGTCCAGATAAGGAGGGGGGAGGGGGATTATCACTAAATTGTTTTCAAATGCCATTTATTTGGTAGAGTTTGACAGTAATCAGAGTGATATGGCAAATCCATTCTAACTTGAGCTTATGTGTGAGGAAGTCTGCAACAGGTGCCGGCTTTAATTAGATCTTCTAATTGAATTAAAAGTTGTCAGAAATTTAATTGATTTAGGTAAGGTTAAATTCCTGTGAGAATTTGAAGTGTTGTAGTTAGAGTATCCAATGTTCTGTAAATCCTCATTTCCCATGTGTACTTGTGGCTCATAAGCGTATTTGTGATTAGATATGGCATCACAATAGGTGCCTCTCTTTAATCATCAACAAAGCTCTCGATAAATGCAGGAAATATTGTCTATCAGTAGAGAGCACTGCAATCCGATTCATCACTTGACCAATACTCGTTAATATTTCAAAACTCCTGCAACATGTTTTGTGCAGAATGGTCTTTGTCCTTGAGGACAGATGTATCCTAAACATTATCAATAGGTACTGTAAAGTGGTTTGATTATTTTCCGTGATAAAATTGGTGTTAGACTACACAGAAATATTACTGATGTAGAGGACACTGCTGAAAGGTGATCCAAACACAGACTGCATAATTTGAAATTGACACCACAGGAGAACAACTGTTTAATGAATGCCTCTCATTATTTGACCATTTTGTGTTATTTTTGTCTGTCACTTGATTGATACCTTATCTGAAGCTGTTGGACTTAGCCAGCAGACCCCTCACAGGGTTGTGGGTGAAAGACATAGCAGGTGCCCCTTGTAAGGTGGACAAAAAGAGGCTATTGGACCTCAATTAGGGTCAGCGGGCAGTGCCTGGTCATATTTACATCCCCATAAAAGGCAGTATAAGTACCATTTTAGGGCCGTGATAACATAATGAAATTAGGGTAATGCTGATTTTATGGGGTGCTGGTCTTTCAAATGTACATTTTGAGGTGCTATCAATGGATTTGAGGTGTAGGTATGTACGGTTTTATGGACTAATTGACTGTCCTGGTGTGGTCAAATTGTTATGTCATTGTAGTCAGGTGGTTGTCTATCACAATCTATGTAAGGTCACACTTTAATGACACCTAGGGGGGAGACAGGTAAAAGGGGTTCCCCACCTACTTAGGTCTCCTAAATACCTGAAGTGAGAAATAAGGGGTAGGGCTCCCCTATATCCCTAGACACATGGGGAGGGGCTTTTAAATTTGTTAGAAAATAACACTCCAGGGTTTTCAGCAAATTTTAACCTCATTATGACTTTAAAATATATTTTAAGTCAATTATCTGATATTTTGGAATGACGTAAGTTGTGTAAACTTTTTTATAGTCACATTTCTTAGTTTGAAATAATTCAAAATCTATTTAAATCACATTTCCTTAGGTGTAGGTTAACAGTCTAAACTATCCTAGCGTAACCACAAGTAAGCATAAGTGTGAGCGACCACATGTCGAAGGTAAACGTTAGATATTAGGCGCGTGGTAAGGACTGACGCGTGGTGTATCCTTCACTCAGGTCTATACCCTTCAGCTACCTATTTTCCACCAAGTTGAATTTGATAATAGATTTGATAATGGGTAACCGCTCACTTTTTAAATGTGTACTCTAGGGAACCAATGTGATTGTTAATCTTCTATTCAGGTATATCTCGTCTCAAGTGTTTGATTTTCGACTTCGTTGTCTCCTGTGGTAAACAGTTGACATGTTTCCAATCTGTCAGTGAGTTCCCTATTTATCCAACATCCACGTGCCCCGTCATACGCGTAAACCTTTGTTCTACACACCTGCTGTATCGGAATCCAGGTACACCAAGGGGCAAACAAGGGGAAATTGTATTTTTTTTCTTCTTTTTAAATATACACCTGCCGTTTTGAAAAATACTGTTAGACCTCTATGATGGAGGAGAGAGGAGGAAGTCAAATTGAAAGAAAAAAAATATTTTATTTACAAAAAAAGTTGGTACAGACAATTGCTGAGGCTCATTTGGGATAATGTAATTAAAAAAATATGAGTGACTTGAAATTCAGTTTAAGATAAGATCTATAGGAAATATTACAATGGTTGTGTTGCTACTGATTCCTGTGAAATATCAAATGATCTGAAATTGATTTTCATATTGTTTAAAATGAAATTTCAAATGTGAGATGGAGAATAAGGATTAAGGAAACTTCATTTTTTAAGTTTTGATCATTTGGGCATTAAAATTAGGTTCTTTACAGATTTCATGATATGATTAATCTGCCTGATTATAGGATAACTACAAAGGTGCACAGACAAACATGGAATCTCCTCCAGATCAGATATTGTACTAACCAAAAGTTAGCTGTACTCAATTGTTGAATATTAAACATTTAGTACTATGAAAAGGGTCACTTTTACAAATTTAAAAAAAAGGAAACATTTCATAAACTATATTAATTTTGAAGTTAACTATTGTAAAGACTTCAAAAAATAATTTTCGTTAATTATTTTATGAAATAGATTACATGGACACCGATGTGAAAAAAAACCAGTAGAAAATAATTGTAGGAAGAATTTAGAGTATTACTGCAGTAGGGTGTTATCATCCTCTATCTACAGACACATCAAGGTAATGGTGGAGAGAGGCTCTTGGCACATGGGCAGGATAGCAATATCCTATGTATAAACAGATTCTGATAATAAAACTCTGTGATATTTATTTTGTGAAGTGTCATGAATCTGACATCTTTTCATAGAAAATGCACAGGTAGGATACAGGTGAGAAAATACTCTGATAAATCAGACATATTGGGGTCAGACAGATTAAAAATTATGTTAATTCCAAACCTCTGGGAGTTTATCACCCTATTTTGACCTTAAAGATAATTTGTATCAGTTCTACAAACAAACCCATTAACTCTCAAAAGAAGAGGTTTATACTCAAATGTTTGTTATCTTAAGCAATAACTTAAATGTATGTGTTTTTCCTAGAATGTTTATTCGGGCCATATTGAGCAGCTCAATAGAATATATACCTATGGTTTTGAACAGGTGTAGCTTACATATCTTAACACACTACCTGTAAATTTCACACCTGGCTGCACATACCTATCCACTTACCCCTAACCTAGGAAGCTTGTATGTACCTAACAGGCACACACCTGGAATTCTGACCAATCACAGACCTCCTTGACCTCTCTACTCCAAATTGGAGTAGGACTGACCCTAAAGCCCTATTTTTACACCTGTGTTACTTCACCCCTCATTACACCTTGATTAGCCTTACGTGACAGACAGTGATAAGAGTGCTAGTAGTGTATCACAGGGACATTAGTGGAGTCTGGATTTCTGTTAATCATTTCTTGGATGTTAAATTTCATACATAAGTTGATATATCATCAATAATTGTGTGGTAAAGTTCATCATCATGGTCATCATGCTGGGTACCGCCCGGCTCACTGCAGCCCTGGGCCTGGCTCCTAAGCGTGGCATGTTTGCTCGAGGTAATTAAACAGATTTATTTTTTATTTTATTTTGTAAAATTACTTTTTTACCCCACATTTTCAATTTTCAGAGATTCCTGTACCATTTGTTTAGTTAAAGTACTGGACATCGCAGTTATTCTATCATTGTTTTTGCTTTACTGTTATCAGGAAACACGATACTATGAAATTATATGAAAAAAAGCCCTGCAGACAAGCAATTGATATCCGTATTATAAGAAAATTTTTCTATTTGTTTACAGGACAGCTGAAGATTTCTGCTTACATGAACTTTGGCCTTTTGACAGTCCATGGTAAGTTACTTATTGAAATCTTGTTTAATGGATTTTTTCTTATAATGAAATAGAGAAGAAAACATTAGATCAATGCATCAGTCATTTCAATAAAGATTTGTAAAAGAAAAATTATAACACAATTTATTTCAGGTATGATAATTCTAAACTGTATGTTTAAAGATTACTTCTTTTCTCTTAGTCGTTCAAGCTCGTCATCTCCAGTCCAAGTGGAAACCGCTCTGCAACTCCTACATCAAGGTAATTTGTTTTCTCAGAAACAAAAAAAAAATGGTTCCAAAAAATCAGTTTTTGTATTATCCCTGTATTATATCAAAGCAATTTAAAAGTTTAAGAACAATTGATGATTATAATACTTATGATGTTTTATTATTCTGATTTTCAGATGTCTTTGATCCCTGACGACACAAAGAAGTCCCGCTGCAAGACAGAGATGGTAATTGACTCTAACAACCCACTCTACGACGAGAAGTTTTCTTTGTAAGTGAAATTTTTATTTTCTACGCAAAATTATTTGGTAGTTTTAATCTACATCATTTTTAAAAATTAATTAATAACCCTACCCCAACTATTGCTCCTGACCGGTGATGGTATTTTGTGTTGTCCGAATAGGATTCCCTTTTAACTGTAGGATGAAACTACAGATCTCGGTGTAACTTTTATGGCTTATACTGAAGTACAAATACATAGAAAATGTATCATTATTTCTTTTATGGATAAAATATGAAAGTGTAGAAGTTTCTATGTAAACTATAATTTCCTTGTTACTATGATAGGTATACAACTACACATGGACATTGTCACATGTCTGTTGTTGTTTTATGGAATAAATAACATGTGTTTTCAAAGTGTGGCTACATTGACCCTGTTTCTTATCAATTTGCATACTGGAACAGTTTATTTTGACAACGCCAAACAAAAGTGTTTTTGGACTCTACAATGTTGATGTTGCCTTTGTACATTTTGTCAGGATTTATGACACATAGATATTTCCCTACTTATAGAATAGTAAATTGTTTTTGGCATTGACATTTGCCTCCTCCCCGTCAACATTTTATTGACGTCACAGTTAAATTGTTAAATTACCTGTGTATCAATTAGGGTACAGAAGCTGACAGTCAATTACAGGTAGCCATCCCCAGATAACAGATGACACTGCTACCTGTCAGGGTGGCAAGATTCCTTTGTTTCTTCTGTCTACCATTTGTAGTCTGTAGTACACTAATTATCTGCTGTCTTTATCATTGTGAATTTACCTGTGTCACTGTTCTGCTGTCTGTACCAGCAAGGTCTGGAAATGACACTAATTAGTCCCTCCTGCATTGATGGTTAGATATATATGTACTTGTGAGTGTCATGATTTATCAACCTGCATGTGAAAAAAAGTACTGCGTGAAATGTGTATTATACAAGCTTAAATTTAGTATTTTAAATAATTTTGCATTTCATCAAACTATATATGAATATTCTGGAATATTTGAAATTATCAGATGTTTCACATTAAGTTCTCACAATGTTACCTTTTAAGTATTCTGTGTGCAAAAAATGATTAACATTGTCCTCAAAATTCCTGTTAACTAAAATGTAATGAAGTTTTATTTTGCAAAATATCTTTCATTTTTACATGGGTTTGTCCACCAATATCCAAAATACTGTTTATGTGTGACATTTTGATTCCGTGTAAATAATCCTGTGATAAAGGTGTAGAATATCAGCTGTAAATCAGCTTGGCATGGTGTGCTCTATCAAATACCTGTAGCTTGTTAAGATGGAAGGCGAAGAAAGTCTTAAATCAACAATTGTTACCAATTTAGACTATAACACTTCAGCAAATACTTCAGCCTTCCACAAAAGTTGATATCAATTTTTCAAAATTTAGCATAAAAATACCTATTTATGTTGGTCACCAGGATAACTTCAACATTAAAAAAAAAACAAGTATCTAATTATTTCTGTCTTCAAAATAAGTACATCACACCCCTTTATACAAACCCTTGACTGCCGGTGTAAAAAATTGTTATTTATCAAAAGTTTATCAAAAAGTTAAAATATTCTACTTTGAAAAATATGTACATCTGAAAATATAGAAAATGTTGACACATTTGTTTTGTTTAGTCTGGAATTTAGGTGTAATTTTATTTTTAAGAAAAGCATATTTTTAAATTAGAATACTTGGGCTTTAAAATGTACTGTTTTAAACGTGAACTTAAAAATTTAATTGGTGCCTTCAGATGTTTAAAATTTAGTATTTTGGGGAAACAGAAGTCATTAATTATATACAAAAAAAAGAAAGGAACTTGAATTAGTGAGGTGTATCTCCTGTCATGGCAAAGTACTCTCATGTAAATAATTGATATATTTCTAGTTGTCTTGTAAGGATTCAAATTAGTTTCTGAACGAACAAAAGGGATGTTCAGCTTCATGCCTTGGTACTTCTGATACAATCACACGTTCCACCTGAGAAATGTTTCTACTCCTGGAACAGTTAAAATTTTTTAATTGATTTCATGTCTTGGTATGAACTGTGTTTTACAATCACTTTGTCTTTGTTACAGTGAACTGAGTGAGGAAGATTACAACAAGCGACTAATGATCTCTGTGTGGCACCGAGACCAGGGCACAAGGTAGGACCGTTACACTAATTATCTTTTACTTATATGTAAACATATGATAAGTAAAAACCAATTAAAAAAGGACCCAGTAATTTGTTTGACTCCCCTTAGATGTATTTACATGGTTTTATGACTTTCAGGAAAATTTTTAAGGTTTTTAAAAGTTAAAAAGTACAAATACAGTTTTAGTACAGTAGTTATAATGCACTGAAGATATTTAAATTTTGTTAAAAAAAAAAAAAAGGTGTAGCCAGGTGCAAATTATTCAGGTGTAACAGACCGTATAGGTAGATAAGCATTGAGTTTGATTTCTTTCATATTTTTCCAATTTTAATCTGTATTTACTAAAGAATGATTCCCTTGATCTGCTAAAAAAACTTTTTAAACTAGCTTTGGACATTTATTGACATGAGTCCACACCTGATAGGTATCAATACAGTAATTATGTATTTGAGGTGCACTACCAGTATGGAAAAGTAGTAGTTACGGAACAAGTGTTTTACTTTTAGTAGATTCAATGGAGTGTGTTTAAAACGGTTTAAATTTAAAAAATTGATACAGATCAAACGTAAAACATCTGCAGGTTTATTGGTTCAAGGTAAACAGTTTCAGTTATATTGTATATTTCATATATTTGTTTGGTTACCATGGAAACTTGTGATTGGCAGGTGGTATAACTTAATTAAGTACCTAAAACATGTATTGGAATGATTGAATAGGTTCCCTGAGATGTGGTATTGTGTGAGGACAGGTGGCCATATCTATAAAGATTTGTTGGAATTCTTTAGAAATCTGATCATATTTTTACAGTAGGACGCAGACAGTTCAATGTCCTTTTACTATTTTTGTAATATTGAATAATTTTGACCATAAAATCGAGTAATACAATAAGATGTGTTAGGACATGGCATTGTAAGGTTGGTGTGACAGAATTGGTCTGTGGTGAGTGATAACAAGGCCTGATAATGAGGAAATTGTCACACACAGGTACAGGGGCGACTGTCATTAAAGGCAGAGTAACAGTGGTGTACTGTCACCTCCTTTATTAGCAGTAGTAGTTTACTCTGCAGGAAAAGTCTAATTCAACCAGATTATACCTCAGATTAAACCTCTCTCACACACCTGAGGCCGAGAACAGGTGAGCCTCATTGGATTTAGAATTCTTTGATGCTTAGAAAATTCAAAAGATCAACTTACTAAGTACAAAAACTTGCAGAGGTTTTTTTTTTATTTGAGAAACACATATTGGAAATAAAATCTCTCATTCTTCTTAATCCTTTTTCTTCTGTTGTATGGTATACAACTGCTATGGATTGTCCAAAAATAAGTCCTCCCTTCCCTGCTCTGTGATACATTATTTACTGCCATTCAGAGGAAGTATCGGTAATAAATAAATAATGCTTGTACAAGTTCATCAATGAAATTCTTTGTTTGAACCACTTAGGAGTATTTTTTTTTGGGGGGGAATTATGCGGAATTCTTTGAACTGTTAATGGAAGACTTTCTGATTCTGAAACATAATTCCTGTTATTTCTTTTGAAAATCGCATAATTACACATTCTTGATTTTATCATTTGGAAAAAAAAATATTGCGACACATTACCATAAGGATATATAATAATATTGCTTTAGGGTATAAAAGCCTATGACACGTTAAAATGTGTCTTTGTCTCTGACCGAGACTTAATTTCTGCAATATGGCTGTGATTAATCACAGACACCGCAAATGGCAGATGTTATTTGTGACAGTTGATAGTTTATAACTTCAACTCAACCTAGAATTACATTGTGATAAAAGGAAAACTGAGGAGGATAATTAACTAGATTATTGGTTAGAATTCTGCCACTAGCACCTTGCTAAATCAGTAGTCATTTTATGGTTAAAGCTCTATCATCCCAGCTCACCCTTCAACAACACCTTTTCTATTTGGTCAGATCTGCTAATTATACAAATACTCAGCTAAAATAATACATTCTCCTGAAGTCACCTGGGTCGTAACACTTTTCATAACCAGCCTGTTAATTAAATCAGCTGGGAACTGGTCATGGCCCCATGCAGCTTACATTATGTGTTCTCAAAAATCAAGGTGGGTCTCCCTCATAGCTAGAAACACAATTAGCTAATTAGGTTTGACCTGGCTAGGAGCTCAGGTTAAAAGTGGTGTGTGATGTTAGGGATCAAGTATTATTGTGCCCTAGTTATGTTGTTATAACACACAACTTCAAAGGGTAGAGGACATTCTTGTGGGTATAGTCGCGGGACATGGACGAGGGATCACTTACTTACAAAAACCAAGTTTTACCCCGCGAGAAAAAGTTGGTATTTACATGTAACTGTTAATCTTTACAATTTTTTTCTATGTCAACATTTTTTTTTTGAATTTATGTGTAGTGTTAATTTGGACTTAAGTTGATCACTGTGTAAACTCACTTTTTTGCAGTGTGTTTACAGTGATATAATCTACTACTGGTGGTGATTGTTGAGTCTGATTTCTGATACACATGTTAATGTTAGGGTTTCTGAAGTAGCTTACAGCAGGTACTTTTGTACTACAAGTACTTCACTGCTAAATTATACAAATCATACAAAAAATAGGATATAAAAGTTTTATTTAGTAGTTTGACTAAGTTTTTGTATTTGTTTTGTAGTGTGACTAAGTTTTTGTATTTGTTTTGTAGCGTGACCGAGTTTTTGGGCTGTATGTCGTTTGGTATCTGTCACCTGTTGAACCCAAGAAAGGTAAGAGACACCTGATAATACAGGATTAATTATGTATGCTAATATGCCTCTGTTTACACAAACCTCCATATCCTTGTTTTCAATAACTTATCTTGGTATTTAGATATATTTTACATGAAACACTATTATTTTTAGACTTGTTAGAACTGTAGTTAAACGTAACCCTGTAATTGTTCTTGTTTAGGACGTTGGTGGCTGGTATTACCTTCTGACTGAGGAGATTGGCCGCAAGAAGCATCTACAAGTTTCACACAAACAGAAACCGGAACTCAAGCTACGAAGTAAGTCAGGAAAATTAAAAAATGTGTACCACATTGTTGTAGAGATGGAAACATTGTAAATTCAAAATTCTTCATGAAATAAATTGAAGAATTGTGGTACATAATATGTTTATTCAGATTCCTAAAGTTTACGACATTTCTAGGTAACTGATAGTGTATAAAAGCTGTTTTATGTGTTTTTGGTCTCTGGAGAATTTTTTTCACTTGATACATTCTTAATTCAGTCATCACTATACCAAAGTTAATTACTAGTTTATTGATTATTTCTGTCCTATTTCAGACCCGGAGAACATCCCACAGGTCAACAAGGATGTTTGGGGAATGGATTCCGTCAGTGTAAGTACCCACGGCTATCACAAAAATATATCAGCCTAGAGTGATAATTTATAATTTGAAGGTAGTTGAGGTAAAGTAAGATATTACTTTTCTTTGTAAAATAGTTTTGATTAGTTCAGATTCTCAGAAAGTACACAAAGATATTTTTTGACAAATTTGATTATTCTGATTTTCTACATCAACAGGTAACAGTTCACAGAGGCAAACACGGATTTGGATTTTCTGTCATCGAGTCCTGTCCAGTCAAAGTCGGCCGTGTTGATAGAGGTAAGTCTAACATGCATTAATAAGATTTACTATCTGAAGATTAGATAACAACCTGTAACTGTAGGAAAATGGTTATAAAAATGGTAACGTTCTTTGAAGTGATCTTTTATAGAAAAGATGATAATTTTGTAAGTGGTATCCATTGTAAGTCTTGTAAATACTTATATAACATGTCTCTACTTAATGTTGTAGCTTCCCCTGCTGAGAATGCTGGTCTCCAGCCTGGTGACTGTGTCGTCCGTGTTAACAACCAGAATGTGTCCCGATCACAGGCCGTCAGTGTTGCCAAACTTGTAAAGTAAGTAGCATGAAGTAAATGTTTTCACGTCTAGAGCATAGGATGGCTATAATGACTTCAGTATAATGACCTTAGAAATGTTTTTCTGTTTTCTCTTTACTTGTACAGAATTCAGTTCTGCCAGTTCTACCAACTCCTGTTAAACTCTCACAGCGTTACTTTGTTTTAAATGCATTAAGAAGTAATTGAAAACACATTCCCAAGCAAAGTTTGGAGAGGTTGGGGGAACCTTTTCTTATATGGCTCAGATGAATGAACATTTAGAATTTTCTATGTGATTTTTTTTACTTCGATGTTGATGAAAAGGTGTAAGATATTTCAAGTAAAACGAAAAACAATTTACTTGTTGAATATTTATTAATTTGATCTATTTGAATTCTACAGGCATGCTGGCAACTCCATCGTTCTTGACATCCAACGCCCACGTCAGGTCAACATTGAGACACTGGACAAGTCACCATGGAAACAGACCCCTGGAGGTGCTGTGGAGCAACATGACATCCGTGCAGGCCAGGACCCTAGAGAGTCATCCGAGGCTGATTCTTACGAGGAGTATAAGGAGAATGAGATCTCTGTCGACGAGAACCTGCTCTTACTTCCTAGCAACCTGATCACCAGTACTCCACTTCCTCTTTTCTGCAATGGCCACCAGGTAAGTCGAGGTTGTAAAGAAATAAGGAACCAGAACATAAATTTTTTTAAGGACATCACAAACAAAATCAGATTTCATACATAGATTTTCATCCAGATTTAAAAGCTGTAATATAGTAAAATGAAGTAGATTTTATCATATATGAAGTATTAATCTCAGATAAAATTACCCTGGTTGTTGATGGTTGAAGAAGACAGTAGATATCAATTTTACTTGTTCATTCAGACTGTGCTGACTGCTGAACGACGGAAACAGGACGCTATGCATCGACTCCTTAGCCTTGAGCTCGACTTCATCGACTTCATGCATGCAGGAATGCAGCGCTTCTCTCGACCACTTCGACACTGTATCCTAAGTCAGAAACAACACACAGCTCTCTTCCAGAATATCGAGAAGGTATGTTGATATACTGACCAGATTGATTGACTTTAACATGTTAAAAAATCACTAAAGTTATAAAGTGCTCTAAAATATATCAATGCTTTGTGTAGACATATAATATTATATTTATTCATATTCTAGTGTACAGACCAATTCTGATTTTGTCAAAATATTAATATATATGAAATATAATGCTGTAATTTTTGTCACTGACTTGGGCTGGCATCTGTAAAATATTTCAAGACAGGAAATATTTACTTTACTGAAAAATAACTGAATTTTATTTTACTTGACAGGTGGTGACAATATCCGAGTACCAGGTGAAGCAGATCAATGACAACCGCCCCTCCATGCTATCCTCTGACACTGATGGTTCCTTGAGTAGTGCTGACGGCCAGAACTTCATGAACTTCTTAGGCATGATCTATCAGTCCAAGGTAAGACGACTATCTTTGCATTTTTATTAGATATTTGAAAAAATTAAATCCTTCCATATCACCTCTGATCATGGTCCAAGGGGAGGTAATGCATGTAAACCATAGATCATTGAAAAAGTATCCAAGTTGCTGGGTTGGTATCAAGTCTTGAAATGAATTCTTCATTAGCATCTCTGTCATGTTCTTAATTATTTTTTTTTGACATTTTAGATGCACATGCTCTGCCAAGCCTACGACCTGTACGCCAAGGGACTTGATGAAGCCAACAATGTATTGTCAGACCTCAGGAGCAACGCAGACTTCATGAAGTTCCTGAAGGTAGGTTTATTTTGCAACACCAGAAATGTTAAAATATAATTATTAGAAAATTTGATAAAGAGATTGGTTTCATTCATGAGCAATCTTTTTTTAGAATTTTTTTCTCAATGTGTGCTTTTAGAAAATTTTTTATGAAATATGCAATATGGTAAAAATTGTGAAATCAATACTTTGTTTTGTTTTTTTATATTATCTATCAAAGTATGCTAACTCAGTGTTTGTTGTTTTTGTAGGACCCGATCCAAGACTCTAGACAGCCCTCTATTAGTGCCTTCATCTGCAGACCAATCCAGGTAAGTTACCTTAACAGTGCAATATATCATAATGCCGAAGTGTACAAATAGAAAGAAAATCTAGCACTTTCAGTTATTCATAATTCCTTAAAAAAATCATCAGTATTGTATTTTATTGAAACAAGTAAGATTGCTGAATTTTGATATTGATTGTTAGTTTTTAATCAGATAGAAGTACTAGGTATTTCATTGTTTTTAGAACAAATTATAGTCCTTGTCATTCAGATGTGTTTTATTTATTACTTGTAGCACATCAACGACCTGTACCAGGTGCTACGCGAGATTTTCATCAACACGCCTGCCGATCACCACGACTATAAGGAACTCAAGCAAGTTACAGAATGTAAGTAAAGAAATCCAATTGGAGCTCCATATTCCATGTAAAATTTGGAAAATTGGCAAATTCACTTCAGATTTTGTATGTATATTCACTACGGGTTCAGTGATAATGTTGATAATTGAGTCAGTATACTGTATTTAACACTATAGAGTAGATTTATCACAGAAATTTGATAATATACAGAAGGTTAATGCTTATCATCACATATTTCTAATTTTCCTATTTCTGTTTCTAGGGTTACAGGAATGCACCACCAACATCACCAACTACAGTTGTGTTGCCCGTGTCCAGAGCTTGACATCACTGACCTCTTCATCTAGTTCTGCACAAGGAGGCCAGCGTCTGTCTTATTCATCATCAGCGTCCAGCAGTGGCAGTGAGAGTGGGTCCTCGTACAAGTCCTCTAGCAGAGGGAAGCGCTCCAACATCATCACCTCAGCATCCATGGCAACTGTACGATCTGTTGACGCCCAGGTGGCCCGTATCCAGGACAGCCTCGTCTTTGCATCTGGTGTCCAGCCTTTCCAGCTAGTGCAGGATGACCGCCATCTCATCTTTGCTGGAGATCTTTTCCGTTGGGAGGGAAAACAGTGGGTCAAGGTAAGACAGGAAATGTTTTAAGAAAGGATAAGAGTTTAATGTTAGTAAAATGGTTCTGAATCATATGCTTAGAGCCTTTTTAAATGAATTGTGTACTTGTAAAATGTCACTTACCATTTGCAATACTTCAGTCCAAGATTTCATTTTTATGTAAAATTTGAGTGATAAAGATTGAATGCTTTTTTCGTACCCACCTACAAATAAAACAGATATGATAAGTAGCTTCATTTGTTTATTTATTGTGGTATCTGTATTGATTGTAATTTTTGTGTCCAGGTGTATGTAATGCTGTTCACTGACATGCTCCTCGAGACAGAGAGAGATCGTGACAACCGCCTTAGAGTCAGCTGGAACCCTACATATCTCCGAAACATTGCTGGAGTTGAAGGTCACAGGAAACACAGTGAGTATTGATTCTTGATATTCAGAAAATAGTATTACATTTTCATGATCTGTAAAAAGTGGTTAATCTCATATAAGTAATTTGAAAATATCTGGATTTGAAAATATAAGGATTTTTCACCTAGTGGTTGTAGGTTTCAATCTATCATTATACTAAGTTATTTCTGTTTTTTTCTTCAGCCACTGAGTTAGTCCTCCATCTCGCCACTGCCATCAAAGGATCCAGTCGAAACCGTCACGACCAGGTTGACAAGATGCTGTTCCGAGCTCCTGATGCCGAGCAGAAGTACGCCTGGAAGAGCCTTCTTGAGCAACGCATCGTTGATGTCCGAGGATCTCTGGACCACTACAGCTCACATAGTGACTGCTCAGGATCTTCCTCCGTTACCATCTTGTGAAATGAAGACCTGTGACAAAAATAATAGACATTCTTTAGAATGCTTGTGACAGAAATATTAGATGCTTCCTGGAACACTACAGACAGAACTAATGCCCTGTGCATGTGCTGCCGTGTTTTTGTTGGAAAAAAGACATTTTGTCAAAGACTTTTTGAGTGTTTTGCTTCTGTTACAAATTTGTGAAACTGACACTGTTACAGAACAAATGGCAATGTCCTCAACTAAATGTGTGAATTAACACAAAAGACACTCGGTATAACTAGCATTAGGCTTGCCATGGTGAACAGTGGCTAAACTCCCTGGTGTATTTTAATCAAAATATTTGTTATCCATAGCTGTTTATTTTGCTTTTTTGTATGAACTCCTGCAATACTCATTTTAAAGGCAATATTTCTGACCGTCGGATTGTAGACATACCCAATAGATGTGTATCTTGACTATGTATTCAAAAGGCAGCTGTAGTGTACACATAATAATCTAGAAAGATTTTTTTGGATTTTCAAGCACAGGAAGTGATTTCTATATCTGTATCTGTGTATGAAATGAACGATGTATCTTCATCTGTGGATGGGGAAATGTTTTGTTTTTGTTTGAATGACTAGTGTCTGGCACAGTGCTAGTAGTTAAGGTGTCCAGACAGTCTCTTGGAATTTTGTTGTGTAAATAGTTGTGTACAAATTGTATTTAAAACTTGGATAATTTTTGTAAATTTTATGTATGTAAATGATTTCTCAATACCAATAGTATTGATGTGTATTTTGTAAATGTCTTAGTTTGCTGGTATTTTAGTACAGTTGATTTGCTTTTTAGTACAATTGACTTGCATTTTAGTACAATTGACTTGCATTCTAATTATGATTAAGAATTAAAAGAAAAACTCCAGATTATATTTATGTTTTAAGTTATCCTTTTAAGAATTAAAAGAAAAACTCCAGATATATATTTTTCTTTTTTTTCTCAACAGATTTTTCAATAGAGTTTTATTATTAAATAATTGAAATCCACATCAGAGATATTACACTTATAACTTGCTATATTCAGAGAACATATAAACACTTATTAAGTAAAAGGGTTTCAGGAGTATATCTGCAATACATTATCTTAATTTTGAGAAAAAAAAATAGATGAAAAATATATTTGAACCGAATTAAATATTATAATTTTGAAGTTTTATACTGGGATATATTTAGTTTTGGGGATATATTTTTATTTCTTTGGTTGAAGTGTTATTTGGGTATAATGATTCGGGGTGTATTGGGTATACTTAGGTATCTACTTTAGGAATGAACATGAAGTATATTTGGTCAAAAGTGGCAAGATAATTTCTTTTTCTCCATTGAGTGAGATTTGAGAATAATTCATGTTTACAGTGGTACACTTGAGTGCTATGAATTGTGGTCTATTGACAAGTGTACAAGACAAGTATACTATATTCTATTGGTTTATGGCCAGATCACATGTCCACATTTTACAAGATGTCTGCATCAGATAATTAGACATCTGAAAATGGTAATTCGAGTAGGGGAGATAATCCATCCTTTTTTCAAAGATGGATGAGAGAAATCAGTTATGAAAATCTGAATTCTTGGTGTAACATTAAGTGTCAAATATTTTATATTTTGTTGAGAAAGTTTTCATATTCTTAGATCTTAATTTTAAATGTTCACTTCCTTCCATTTTTGGGGGTATTTGTATTTTAGGTAGATTTTAGAACTAATTTGAACAGGTCTGCTTCGAACAATTGTCTTCCCTTTTCTCTTCTGACTATCTTTCCTCCTTTCACTATTTATTTTTCTAGTCCTTGAGTGAAGTTCATCACAACCTGTAGTATGTAGATCATTTATTTGTAGTATATTAAATGTAGATAAATAATGAAAAATGTTCTACTAGGAACAATTCTCCAATAAAATTCCAGAAAACTTTAGTAATTTGTATTTGTGTTGTCATTTATATTTAAGTTTCTTGACAGACAGTGCCAAAGGGGACTCTATATTTCAATGTCATTTTTTGTCAGATTCAGACGAAACAAATTATGAATTCATCGGTAGCACTGTAAATCAGTATAATCTGTATCTACAACTAATTTTTTTTTGTATTTGATTTTGATCTAATAAAGATAAAGGAAAAATGACATTGTGATTGTAACAACATGTGGTTCTCTTGGCACCTGTTATTCTTGACACTGATGTAGGTTGTTTCCAGAAACATGTCTCCTCATGACCTTGACTCTGATTCATCTGATACCTATGATCATGACAACTAGACTTCTCTCTGACTCTGCAGATTTAACCCCAATACTTTAATTGATCAGTCACTGTGAATGATTTGTACACTTTTGATATTTACGATGACAAGCTGTTTCATGTCTTACTAAGGATGACACACCTAATAACTATGAATATTGAGTTCGTTAATAATTTTGTTGATTAATCTGTTTTTGAAAGTCATACTTTTGATCCAGATAATCAAATCAGGAAGATTAAGATTTTTACAAAGATGACCTTGAAACAGACTTTTCAGTCCCTGTGACCTATGACTTTTAAACTTGAACTTGATAAAAAGATTTCAGAAACCATATATGGATGACATGAGCTTTAATGAAATTTCATTAAGTCACTGAAGACACTGCCTTTTTTTCTTTTAGCTTCTATTGGGTCACTGGCTTCCCTCCAGAACACATGTAATATTACACGTGTATATTTTCATTTTTAAGGAAAGATAAATGAGGAAAAAATCAGAAAAGGATAAAAATAGGTATTTTGATATATATCTTTTAAAACCGAGATTGGAAGCCCTTGTCCAAATCACAAAATATCTTTCATCTATATTTTAATAGCCTACATATATGAACACGACTTCACCAGCCTTTGGCTTATGTGCCAACAAGTTATGCATATCAAAGCAACATTTAACTAATATGCTCAATGTTTATGTAACCTTGAGCTGGTGCGTACAACGATTAAGAATAAAATTGAACTAATGAGTTCAATAGAACATGGTTAAAGAGTAACATAGAGCTGATGCGCTTAACCAATGAGAGTTACCTGGAGCTAATGCACCGCAGATTAAGTGTATCCTTGAGCTTCATAGCTTATTATAAATGCATATTGAAACGAAACCACCACCTGAAATTTAGAATTTGACATTTTTTTATCGCAATGCTAGCCGTGAGTTTTCTACACCCCTACTATATCGTATCATACCTATCTATCCAGCAGCCAATCAACCAACAGACCAAACAAAAATCAACAAAACAAATAAACAAGGGAAGTAACTAACTAAAACAATGCAATCAAATATAAACCAAAGGGTCGTATATTTCCAATTTTGCTGATATTGTACCGTTTTACTGTGGCTGCCGCTAATATATGTTGTTATGAGGGATATATCATAATTTGTCTGTCCGTCCGTCCGACTGCCTGTCTGCCTACCTGTCCATTGACGAAAGTTCATCAGTGACAGGGCCGATTACTCATTCGATTCTAACGAAGCTTAGAAATTGATTACTGGCAGTTTTGGTTATTTTGTTAGAAGTTGTGTCAATCTTGTGAGGAAACTGATATTTCTGATTAAATTAAACTTTATTTTCGTATTAAGAGAAATCTATTTTCGCATTTCTTCAGTAGTGGCATTAAATGAACGAAGGGTTTGGTTATTGTTAAACAGATGTTAGTTTTTACTGAATTGACAAAGAAACGTGTAAGGCGAGATTGTATAGGTGAACTAGATACAAGGTCAATAGGTCAACCAATCGCCCTTTTGATGAAAACAGAGAAACAGCGTAATCTTAATACATTGCATATTAAGCTCTGACACCCATGCAGTTCCCTTACAGTTGACCTTTGTAGAGTTAACCTCGTTGCGAGTGCATCTTGTGAATGTGGTCATCCTTGTGAGAATGGCTTTCGCTGTTTTATTTAATGTCAACGTTTCTCAAAGAAAGCGTATTTTAGTTCTAAATTTATATAATTGGAACGTTGCGTTAGATATAGAAATTCTTCTGGTCGACAATTCTAAACTTTCCGTGGACCTTAATGCAAGCATTTTTAGATCTGTGCAATAACCATATTAAATCCAGCAAGAGATTTGATGTCAATTTGTAACAATAATTGTATATTTGTATTGTCATGGATGCAATGTCATTTAAAATGTATATTGGGAGAAGGCGTTGACAAGCTGCAATAATTTGTGTCTAATCCTTTGTCAATCTTTTGGCAATAAATATGTTTAAACTAAAAAAAAAAAAAAAAAACAACAACAACAAAACAAAACAAAAACAAAATACATAACATTTCTAAACATGGAAACCCATTAGGCAAACTACCACCTTTAACCTACAAATCACCATGACTACAACTAATCAGAACTCGCCCTCAAAAGAACTTCTATAAAGGAAGGTAATATAGATGCTGTCCGTTATCTGTATATAATGGTCTTTAACTGAATTTTAAAAAAATCTTTTACTGGTTGATTCAGTAAATATGCTCCTCTAATATCCAAAACTGTACATAACGGAAGTTCAGGATACTCTGATAAAATGCACATCTTAATTTACCATTTCAAAACTTTCCATTCGTTAAGGGAAAGTATTGAAGTCGTAGATTAAGATATGTGTTTTAATCAGATTGAATCTCAGGGTATCATTTATTTCATTACAGCTAACTATAATTTAATTATATATATATATATATTTATATATATATATATAGGTCTTTGGTGTATACAACCAAATGTTATAGAAATATGTAGAATTAAAAGATTTGCTAAGCTTTTAAAAAAAAATCCGTACATTTTAAAAACAAATTTCTTGCAATTAGTTATATATTTGATAACCTATTAAATTTCGTCACCAGATTCATGTCTTACTGGGGGACGTGAACTCAATAAGAACTTTTTGTTAAATATTCAATGCTGTTCAAAATTTATGGGCAAATCAAATGTTATACCTTTTCATCAACACAATTTGTAACTTGTCTAGTGCAAATAAATTGAATTTAATAAAGTTAGGAATGGAAACAAAAGCAGCGGGATTATTTTATTAAGTTCGAGAGAAATGATAAAAGGGTAAATATGTTGGACGTTTAACACTTTGTCCGGAATTATTCTGGGATCGTTTCTTTTACTACTTAACATATTTTATTCGAAACTAACAGGGGGTTCTTTTAGCTTTACTTCTTAGGGAGCAGTCATTGCATTTGTTTGCTGACGACAGAAGCTGCAGAATGTTGCTGAAAGATAAACCGGAATATCTAGTAATGGCGACATCTTAACATTGTAAGATTAATTATCGTTACCTTGGATAAATATATTGAATTCAGGTTATGCCTTTATAACTTTCAGTTCAGTGTATTCACACAAAGGACTGAAAGATGTAGTTGACTTTCAGCTATATTTTCGTTTCAACGGTTCAAGACAAGCAGAATTTTGTAGGAAATATCAATTCTCAGTTTAAAATTTAAGATCAGGAGATACAATAAAGTGAAATTTATAAAAATTCCAACTGTCTGTGGCAGATTATGATCGATGCCGTTATAGCTCGTTTACTTATAGCTTACGTATTGTTCGACCTTCCTTCATCATATTCTGAAGAAAATGTTGACGTATTAAGTTAAGATTATTTTAAGTACAGGATCATTTAAGATCCCCTGCATTGCCCTGTAATATACAGTACACCAAGTCACTAAAATCAATTTTGAGAACAGCTCCATTGATGTGTGATTTATGTTTACATGTAGATTACTGGTATGAAATATTACATTTTCAGGCATTACTCTTGCATTTTTTTTACCGGTGTCATAAATGTGACAAGAAAGTGATTTGTGTGCATTTCCGTGACTTGAATCCATGGCCACTTATTTATCAATCTGCCACTCTAGGTATTAAGCCAAAAGAATATTTCTGTTCAGGTAAGCACAAATATTGGATGTGACCCAATAATTTTGTAGGTTTAAGTCAGTTAAATCCTGACACACAAGTGTAATAGGAAGGAGTAATGAAAAACACACTGTACCATCACTGGAGTTCAAACTAGTGACCCTTTGGTCCTTAGCTTGACACTCTACTGCTGAACTAAACGGAAATTCCCACTAGTTGAGGCTTCTACTCAAGTTTAAGTATGTAACAGCCTCGGGAAAATGCAGAAGAGTGAGACGGGGATCATAAGACATGGGAACTACAAACACTAGATGGACACCCATGTCTTATTTAAGAAGCAATCCCAGTTATGCTACATATAAACCTTTTTGTTTTTTGAAGTCGCTACTGATTGAGACCCAGGGTTAATACATGAGAGGATTCAAACACAGATCTCCAAATTCTGAACACATTATCTAACTAATTGTTCTACCTAATCACATGTCACTCATCACTATCAAAGATTTTAATTATCACAGTGAGTCTGTCAGATTAGAAATATATAACAAATACATATTCATGATGCAGTCTATCCCTGGACTCTGGTCATACTAATCACAATAAACTGTTCAGCTGGAAAGATTATTAGTTTAATTGACTTAGTGTAAGCCAAGGAAGCTGGAGGTCCTAGGTTCAAATGCAATTTGTGATATTGAACGTCTATTACATTGGTGTCTATGAAGGGACCAGAGAGCTAATGACAGAGATACTTAGCTTTTTTTCACAGACATTGCTATTATCCTTAGGAAATTTGAAGATGAGCCCATTTCTGTAGGGATAGTATGTATCTTAGGTAAATAGTAGATGAATATAATGCTTGGCTAGAGAGATCTTCTCTTTAGCTTAGTCAAGCACAAGCCTAATAAGCCACAGTCAAAGGTTTGATCCTGATCAGAGGCACAGAAACATATGATGACTCGTGTTAGATATCTTTGATGAGTAGGTTGGAATAACAAACATGCAGGCCTTAAGTAATAATGGTGTTATGAAAAAGTTGAGTTACACAAAATTCCTCGTTGCTACATCCTCAATACTCCAGGGTTATGATCACTTCACTCTCTACACCCATGGAACATGTCATCTTTGGTATTAATCATTCATATATTGTTGCTCATTTAACTTATAGTGTACAACTAGTACTAATAATTATAATATTGATAACGGCACACACATTTTATATAAACATGCCATCAATCTGATGTTGTTGTTTTATTGAAATATTATCTACTTCTTAATAATTTTTTTCCAGAATTCCTGTCGAGAAAAATGACAACAAGATTAGTTGGAAATATAGAGGACTTAACCAAACAGATCATGTCTTTGAATAAATTATGGATATTACCAATTTCTCTGCCAACAAGTCTAAGAGTTACCTCCCCTGCCCGAGTGACTACCATCAGTATACTTGCTGTGATTGGATTGTATTATTACTATCGTCGATGGAAGAAAAAACAGAGGACTCAGCCTCAAAAGGATGAAGGGCGAGAACATAATGATACTGGGTACAAGACCTCACATTTAAATAGTCCAAATGGAGGTAATGGTTTAGTTGCAGAGTTAGCGATATTATTCAGAGTGACAAAGAGACATATGTCATAACTTTATATTTTCAATTTTTCAGTTTACTGAGGTAACATATCATTTATTCTGTCAAATAAAGATTTTAAACAAGAAATGTAGAGTAGTTAAGCTAAATTATTTAGAAATATGGTAAAAATCTAAATAATTAGCACAGGCACTATAGCTATGACTACTCTATCTACATTTTTTATTTTGGAAATCATAAAAAAAAGTACAATAATGTTAGCTCAACTATCTTGACAAGTGGTTTAAAGGGACTAAATGGTTAGAATTTCATCTCATAATTGATCAAAAACATTATAACATTTAAATGTCTGTTAAAAGTTGTGCACTTTCAGTCAATTACAGAATTTAAAAGTTGTATTTGTTGTATTTGAAAAAAATTCAAAGTTAGAAATAGAGCAAAAACTTCATATCATTATTGTTCAGAGAGTGTAAACAAGGTCTTTGTGCATGTGTGATGCGGAAAAATTTAGAAATCATAAAAAGCGGTGTGATAAAATGAGGTTCCGAAAGATCACATTATGAACTTGGGTATCTCTGATCAAAACAGTGAATGGCAATAGACACAACATCAAATGTTTACCAGTGTTAGTTTGAAGATGATAATCTTTATCAATTTGTCTCAAGAAAAAGTGCTATAATTTTGTGAATAGTATAATTCTAAGTATTAAAACATTTGCCTGAAATCAAACATATAACAAAAAATAACAAAATCTAACCATTTAGTCATTTTAATATGTTAAAAGTAAATTCATCTTTTTTTAATTTTTAGGGCCTTAAACATTTTGTGTACTTAGTAAGTACAGAAAATGATAGTCAGTGTTTGTAATGTTTAGTATAAAATCTTCATTAGTTTCATGCAATAATGAAAGTTTTTTGATGAATTTTGGTTTTAAAAGCTTTGTACTGATTTTCATAATAATAATCTAAACTAGTGTCTGTATTACTGCCTTGTTTAACTTTGGTTCATAGACATGTCATAATTGAAATGTTTTGAAAGGTAAAAACTGGATCATGTTTGTCAGCTTAAAAAGAATTAAGAATAACAAGATTGAGCTTTATACAGGTCTACTTGCCTAAAATGTCATGTTTGATATGTGTTTTAGATGTCCTGATGGGTCGTGTGAGAAGAGCCGAAAGTCCAAGTGGGAGCTCAAATCGCTCTCTATCCTTATTACGGACCAAGTCTTTATCAGGATCTACCTCAAGTTTAGGGGCTGTTTCTACCACATCTACAATCACCCATCCTGTGGTGGACACTACCAACTATGGGCCGGTACAGCTTTGTTCTCTAGGTAAGGGCTTACATCAATCAGAAACAGGCCTGTACAGCTGTGTTCTCTACATAAGGGCTTACATCAGTAGGAAACGGGCTTGTTCAGCTGTGTTCTCTACATAAGGGCTTACATCAGTAGGAAACGGGCCTGTACAGCTGTGTTCTCTAGATATGGTTTTACACTGGTAGTAAAATGGCCTGTTCTCTACATAAGTGCTTACATCAGCAGGAAATCAGCATGTACAGCTGTTCTCTAGGTAAGGTTTACATCAGTAGAAAAAGCCTGCACAGTTTGTGGCAAGTGTTTTGGCATAAGATAACCAGTTTCTGAAATACTTCCCTGATCAGCATTTGTGATTTCAAGTGCTGTAATTGTGTATAGACGTTGAATCACCCCAGATATTTGTGTCCTCAAATACTGAAAAAATATAAACATTTCAGACTTCTGTCATCAAACATGGAAAATATTAGCAGTCTGAGGTTTTTATGGTATAGCTAATCCACATAATTAGGACCCATGCTGTATTGAAAAAATAGGGATAATTTGACATTAATATCTACATTTTAGGGTTTGAGACACTGCAGCTAGCTGTCAAGTACTGGGAGGATGCTATGGTGAAACTTCAGAGTCCTGATGATACCAACAGACCAACAGCCATACTGGTAGGTATTTCAGAGTCCTGATGTAACCAGCAGACCAACAGCCATACTGGTAGGTATTTCAGAGTCCTGATGTAACCAGCAGATCAACAGCCATACTGGTAGGTATTTCAGAGTCCTGATGTAACCGACAGACCAACAGCCATACTGGTAGGTATTTCAGAGTCCTGATGAGACAGATGGACCAACAACCATACTGATAGGTATTTCAGAGTCCTGATGAGACAGACAGACCAACAGCCATACTGATAGGTATTTCAGAGTCCTGATGAGACAGACAGACCAACAGCCATACTGGTAGGTATTTCAGAGTCCTGATGAGACCAACAGCCATACTGATAGGTATTTCAGAGTCCTGATGTAACCAGCAGACCAACAGCCATACTGGTAGGTATTTCAGAGTCCTAATGATACCAACAAACCAACAGCCATACTGGTAGGTATTTCATAGTCCTGATGAGACAGATGGACCAACAGCCATACTGGTTGGTATTTCAGAGTCCTGATGAGACAGACAGACCAACAGCCATACTGATAGGTATTTCAGAGTCCTGATGAGACCGACAGACCAACAGCCATACTGGTAGGTATTTCAGAGTCCTGATGTAACCAGCAGACCAACAGCCATACTGTTAGGTATTTCAGAGTCCTGATGAGACAGACAGACCAACAGCCATACTGGTAGGTATTTCAGAGTCCTGATGAGACAGACAGACCAACAGCCATACTGGTAGGTATTTCAGAGTCCTGATGTAACCAGCAGACCAACAGCTATACTGGTAGGTATTTCAGAGTCCTGATGTAACCAGCAGATCAACAGCCATACTGGTAGGTATTTCAGAGTCCTGATGTAACCGACAGACCAACAGCCATACTGGTAGGTATTTCAGAGTCCTGATGAGACAGATGGACCAACAACCATACTGGTAGGTATTTCAGAGTCCTGATGAGACCAACAGCCATACTGGTAGGTATTTCAGAGTCCTGATGAGACTGACAGACCAACAGCCATACTGGTAGGTATTTCAGAGTCCTGATGATACCAACAGCCATACTGGTAGGTATTTCAGAGTCCTGATGTAACCAGCAGACCAACAGCCATACTGGTAGGTATTTCAGAGTCCTGATGTAACCAGCAGACCAACAGCCATACTGGTAGGTATTTCAGAGTCCTGATGAGACCGACAGACCAACAGCCATACTGGTAGGTATTTCAGAGTCCTGATGATACCAACAGACCAACAGCCATACTGGTAGGTATTTCAGAGTCCTGATGTAACCAACAGACCAACAGCCATACTGGTAGGTATTTCAGAGTCCTGATGTAACCGACAGACCAACAGCCATACTGATAGGTATTTCAGAGTCCTGATGTAACCAGCAGACCAACAGCCATACTGGTAGGTATTTCAGAGTCCTGATGTAACCAGCAGACCAACAGCCATACTGGTAGGTATTTCAGAGTCCTGATGTAACCAGCAGATCAACAGCCATACTGGTAGGTATTTCAGAGTCCTGATGTAACCAGCAGATCAACAGCCATACTGGTAGGTATTTCAGAGTCCTGATGTAACCAGCAGATCAACAGCCATACTGGTAGGTATTTCAGAGTCCTGATGAGACAGACAGACCAACAGCCATACTGGTAGGTATTTCAGAGTCCTGATGAGACAGATGGACCAACAGCCATACTGGTAGGTATTTCAGAGTCCTGATGTAACCAGCAGACCAACAGCCATACTGGTAGGTATTTCAGAGTCCTGATGAGACCAACAAACCTTGAATTTTATTATCCTTTTTTAAGTACTGGATGGATCTCAAATGATATAAGTTTCCCTTGGTTTCTACTGGTGCCATTTTAATTTTGATGCCCAACATAATGTAGGATCTTTGATTTTGACACCTATGATTTGTTGTCACTATTTTTTGAGAAGATCTGGATGGATCTTCTGAATTTCATATGTAGGTTCCCATTTGTTCTTTCTTGTGCCTTGGTCGTTTGGGACTGATATGTAAAACCAAAAACAAAATGGCCAACAGGTGGCCATCTTTGATTTTGACAGTTCTGGTTCAATCATTCTGAAATGTCTGATGTAGTTAGTTCCTCATGGCTGTTAGTTGTTCACAGTTGATTTTGCGATAGGTCAGAGAAGGGAAAAGATCCTTCTGATAAAGAACCGATAAAGATTAAAGGATCCCTCCTAAGTTTTTTTCTACATTCAGTCATTAATCATACATCACTTGTGTGTAATGAATCTACCAATAGTAACATGTAATTTACAAAACATCACTGGGGCTGTTACATCCAAGCCAACCCTTTCTAAACCGTCTAAATAATTTTGTCCTAAGTATGGTGAGTTTGGAGAGGTGCCACAGACTTATGATTACCTGATCAGGAATAGGTACAAAGCTTGCCCTGACAATCCAAGTAAAAAAATTATAGTGCTGTATAGTATGTTTTACAAACACATTGTCCTACAGTCTGTTTCTGAAAATCAACAGTGAAGTATTCCAAAAAACACACAGTCCTAAAGCTGTTCCAGAAAGTCATATTCCAAACTGTGAATAAATAAAAAGAATCATGAAATAGGCGTTTATCAACTAGCGGTAATTAATACTTGTGGATGTGTATGGATGCTCACAAGGGGCCTTACTGTGGGAAGAAACAAAGGTATTCAGGTATAACCCACATCTTCAGAAGATGACCCTGTACTTTGAACATTTGATCAAAGCCTTCTACTCGGTCGTCCAGGTGAAAGGCAAGTGCATTTTCACTTGGCTACCTGACATCCCAACTGCAAATTGTTGTCTTAATATTAAAACCGTATTTTGCCATGAATTTATTGATTTCATTTCAGTTGTTGACATACAGTCAAATATGTAAAGCAATTGTTTGATGTGATACTTTCTTTTACAGGATCCTGAGAATATTGCCCTTCACAGTCAGCTAGATAAACTTCTGGAGAATGCTTACAGATTGATTGACAGTTATGAACACCAATGTGAGCGTCAGGCAGATCGTGTGGCCTTCGACACTGCCATCGCTGCATTCACGGAGGTGGACAGAATGTCGGAGAGAAAGAGTTTGGATGCAACGTCTAGCAGCGACCAGGAGTCTTTTGTCTCTGCTACTGATGTAAGCATCTTGTCTGTATGGCTATCACGAGGATTGAGATTTTATCGTCTTCTGAAAACATTTTTGAATTCTTTTGATTTCAAGCCAGTAAGAACCATCATGATAACCCAAACGCTTAGGTTGAATAGGGGTACAATTCAAATTTTTGTGGATTTAAATCCTTAAAATGTCTTTTATACTCAAACCTGATGGAATGCCAACAATAAGTATTGCCATATTATTCTTTGAAGACTCGGAGTATTCTATTTTTAGGTTCATTTTTTTGAAGTACTGAATCACAAAGTTACATGCCTTGCACATGGAATTGAGACTAAGTCAACTGGTGAAATGTTTATTATTACATATCAAATTACAATTTAGTGAAGTTTGGATTATTTTTTTGCCTTGTTACAAATTTAGTTTGACAATAGCAACTGTTTTCATTGCATTTAGATGTGATTAGTCTGATTATACATTACCTCCATGTTTATAAACTCATGATCAACTGTGGAAACTTTCATGAGAAGTTATGTTTTGTCAGTACCTGGCAAATTTTGAACTTGTTGTTTGTCTAAATGGTCTCTTTTTCGAGTGGCTTTAGAATTTCTTCCCTCGGGATGATATAGATAAAATTCTACATTACAACTTAAATAGAATAAATGTTAAGTTGTTTGCTGATCTTTTTGTATGGTTATAAGATAGTGGATTATTAAACGTCCTCACATTTTTAAGTCGGAACAATGTTGAATGTAGTGGTTATTGTGTAAGTGAAGGTTGATCTGAGCCATGTGGTTAATTCTGGTTTTATACCCAAAGTCTGTGAAACATCCCCTTTACTGTAATCAGTCTTTGTTTTTATGCCCCTGGCATTTTAATGTTTCCTATGTCCGTCCATCCATCCTCTCATCCTCTCTCGTCCCGTTATGTGCCATCCCGTCCTGTTCAGAATCAGGGTCATATCTTAAGAACCTCTCAACAGATTTGGTTCATATTTATCCTATGGTATCATAATATGAATTTCTACACCTGATCGTATGAAGATGGTCATCTTTGGAGGTTTAAGGGTCAAATGTCACATTTGACAACTTTTGTAAATTCGTGAAACAATGATACTTATATACATGGGTAGCTGATGAAACTGCTGCAGTTTGAATTCTATTTTGTATTTTTTAATTCCCTCCAATATTTTTCATCATATTTGTTAAAATAATTGTTTATATCTGTGAAGCTTACATACATTGTTTTCATACTTATGTATCACAGATGGCCAATTTATCTGACTTGGAGACTCACAGAGAAATGTTTCACCACTTGCCATTGTACGAGGCTGGTCTTCTGGAACTAAAGCATGGATCTGTCACCTGTAGAACACTGAGGTAACATGTCTCTGTGTAGAAACTGGGACTTCAGGCTAGCTCTGTAGAGTGGGCGGAGAATTATACTGTTTACAGCAGACATCAGGCTAGCTCTGTAGAGTGGGCGGAGAATTATACTGTTTACAGCAGACATCAGGCTAGGTCTGTAGAGTGGGCGGAGAATTATACTGTTAACAGGAGACATAAGGCTAGGTCTGTAGGATGGGTGGAGAATTATACTGTTAACAGGAGACATAAGGCTAGGTCTGTAGGTTGGGTGAAGAATTATACTGTTAACAGGAGACATCTGCCATCCCCTTTTGATGTTTTTTATATTACAGGCTAGGAAAGATTTACTTTATTCAACATTAAAATATAAGTAATAAGATTAAGTATAAGTAATAAACAGCTATGGCATTCTGTAATAATGCTTTGAGGCTTGATATGCTATTGATGACCCTGAATATTAAACTTACAAAAGTTATAGTTAGGATGATTTTACAATAAATCCTTTAAAAATCTTCTGTTATGAACAGGACAGAGATGACACAGTGTATGTCAGACACAGAGTTCCTGGCTAAGCTTCATGGTATCAGACTCGCTCTCGATGTAAGTTATCACTAAGCTGTTGTTGATGTTACATAAATGAATACTATCGATCTCTAGTAAACCAGGTGTCGCTTACCAGATGTAGGCCACTGTGACCTTAATATTGACCTCATCCCTTCTTTAAGTTAAATATAAGATTACCTTTTTCACTGAGGATCATCAAGATAGATTTTGTATGTGAATAGCATAGTTTATAATGACTGGAACTTCTGTGATCATTATAACATTTCATTGTACCATTAGTTGTAGAACCCTTGTAGGATGGTCAGTACATGATGACACACACACACTACAGACTACCCATCAGTTGTAGAACCCCTGAAGGATGGTCAGTACATGATGACACACACTCACTACAGACCACCCATCAGTTGTTGAACCCCAGTAGGATGGTCAGTACATGATGACAACACACTGTTTACAGCAGCTAGCTCTGTAGAGTGGTCAGTACATGTTTGACAACACACTACAGACCACCCATCAGTTGTAGAAGCCCTGTAGGATGGTCAGTACATGATGACAACACACTACAGACCACCCATCAGTTGTAGAAGCCCTGTAGGATGGTCAGTACATGATGACAACACACACACTACAGACCACCCATCAGTTGTAGAACCCCTGTACATGAGACACACACTCACTACAGTATGACAACACACTACAGACCAGCTTTCAGTTGTAGAAGCCCTGTAGGATGGACAGTACATGATAACACACACACACTACAGACCACCAATCAGTTGTAGAAGCCCTGTAGGATGGTCAGTACATGATGACAACACACACACTACAGACCACCCATCAGTTGTAGAACCCCTGTAGGATGGTCAGTACATGATGACAACACACTACAGACCAGCTATCAGTTGTAGAAGCCCTGTAGGATGGTCAGTACATGATGACACACACACACTACAGACCACCCATCAGTTGTAGAAGCCCTGTAGGATGGTCAGTACATGATGACAACACACACACTACAGACCACCCATCAGTTGTAGAAGCCCTGTAGGATGGTCAGTACATGATGACAACACACACACACCACCCATCAGTTGTAGAACCCCTGTAGGATGGTCAGTACATGATGACACACACACACTACAGACCACCCATCAGTTGTAGAACCCCTGTAGGATGGTCAGTACATGATGACACACACTCACTACAGACCACCCATCAGTTGTTGAACCCCAGTAGGATGGTCAGTACATGATGACAACACACTACAGACCAGCTATCAGTTGTAGAAGCCCTGTAGGATGGTCAGTACATGATGACAACACACTACAGACCACCCATCAGTTGTAGAAGCCCTGTAGGATGGTCAGTACATGATGACAACACACACACTACAGACCACCCATCAGTTGTAGAACCCCTGTAGGATGGTCAGTACATGATGACAACACACTACAGACCAGCTATCAGTTGTAGAAGCCCTGTAGGATGGTCAGTACATGATGACAACACACACACTACAGACCACCCATCAGTTGTAGAAGCCCTGTAGGATGGTCAGTACATGATGACAACACACACACTACAGACCACCCATCAGTTGTAGAAGCCCTGTAGGATGGTCAGTACATGATGACAACACACACACTACAGACCACCCATCAGTTGTAGAAGCCCTGTAGGATGGTCAGTACATGATGACACACACACTACAGACCACCCATCAGTTGTAGAACCCCTGTAGGATGGTCAGTACATGATGACACACACACACTACAGACCACCCATCAGTTGTAGAACCCCTGTAGGATGGTCAGTACATGATGACACACACACACTACAGACCACCCATCAGTTGTAGAACCCCTGTAGGATGGTCAGTACATGATGACAACACACACTACAGACCACCCATCAGTTGTAGAAGCCCTGTAGGATGGTCAGTACATGATGACAACACACACACTACAGACCACCCATCAGTTGTAGAAGCCCTGTAGGATGGTCAGTACATGATGACAACACACACACTACAGACCACCCATCAGTTGTAGAACCCCTGTAGGATGGTCAGTACATGATGACACACACACACTACAGACCACCCATCAGTTGTAGAACCCCTGTAGGATGGTCAGTACATGATGACACACACACACTACAGACCACCCATCAGTTGTAGAACCCCTGTAGGATGGTCAGTACATGATGACAACACACACACTTCAGACCTTCCATCAGTTGTAGAAGCCCTGTAGGATGGTCAGTACATGATGACAACACACACACTTCAGACCTTCCATCAGTTGTAGAACCCATGTAGGATGGTCAGTACATGATGACAACACACACACCACAAACCACCCGTCAGTTGTAGAACCCCTGTAGGATGGTCAGTACATGATGACAACACACACTACAGACCACCCATCAGTTGTAGAACCCCTGTAGGATGGTCAGTACATGATGACAACACACACTACAGACCACCCATCAGTTGTAGAAGCCCTGTAGGATGGTCAGTACATGATGACAACACACACACTACAGACCACCCATCAGTTGTAGAACCCCTGTAGGATGGTCAGTACATGATGACAACACACACACTACAGACCACCCATCAGTTGTAGAACCCCTGTAGGATGGTCAGTACATGATGACAACACACACACTACAGACCACCCATCAGTTGTAGAACCCCTGTAGGATGGTCAGTACATGATGACACACACACACTACAGACCACCCATCAGTTGTAGAAGCCCTGTAGGATGGTCAGTACATGATGACACACACACACTACAGACCACCCATCAGTTGTAGAACCCCTGTAGGATGGTCAGTACATGATGACAACACACAAACACTACAGACCACCCGTCAGTTGTAGAACCCCTGTAGGATGGTCAGTACATGATGACATACACTCACTACTGACCACCCATCAGTTGTAGAAGCCCTGTAGGATGGTCAGTACATGATGACACACACACACTACAGACCACCCATCAGTTGTAGAACCCCTGTAGGATGGTCAGTACATGATGACACACACACACTACAGACCACCCATCAGTTGTAGAACCCCTGTAGGATGGTCAGTACATGATGACTACACACACACTACAGACCACCCATCAGTTGTAGAACCCCTGTAGGATGGTCAGTACATGATGACAACACACACACTACAGACCACCCATCAGTTGTAGAAGCCCTGTAGGATGGTCAGTACATGATGACACACACACACTACAGACCACCCATCAGTTGTAGAAGCCCTGTAGGATGGTCAGTACATGATGACACACACACACTACAGACCACCCATCAGTTGTAGAACCCCTGTAGGATGGTCAGTACATGATGACACACACTCACTACAGACCACCCATCAGTTGTAGAAGCCCTGTAAGATGGTCAGTACATGATGACACACACACACTACAGACCACCCATCAGTTGTAGAAGCCCTGTAGGATGGTCAGTACATGATGACAACACACACTACAGACCACCCATCAGTTGTAGAACCCATCAGTTGTAGAAGCCCTGTAGGATGGTCAGTACATGATGACACACACACACACTACAGACCACCCATCAGTTGTAGAAGCCCTGTAGGATGGTCAGTACATGATGACACACACACACTACAGACCACCCATCAGTTGTAGAAGCCCTGTAGGATGGTCAGTACATGATGACAACACACACACTACAGACCACCCATCAGTTGTAGAAGCCCTGTAGGATGGTCAGTACATGATGACAACACACACACTACAGACCACCCATCAGTTGTAGAAGCCCTGTAGGATAGTCAGTACATGATGACAACACACACTACAGACCACCCATCAGTTGTAGAACCCCTGTGGGATGGTCAGTACATGATGACAACACACTCACTACAGACCAGCCATCAGTTGTAGAACCCATGTAGGATGGTCAGTACATGATGACACACACACACTACAGACCACCCATCAGTTGTAGAAGCCCTGTAGGATGGTCAGTACATGATGACAACACACACACTACAGACCACCCATCAGTTGTAGAAGCCCTGTAGGATGGTCAGTACATGATGACACACACACACTACAGACCACCCATCAGTTGTAGAACCCCTGTAGGATGGTCAGTACATGATGACAACACACACACTACAGACCACCCATCAGTTGTAGAAGCCCTGTAGGATGGTCAGTACATGATGACAACACACAAACACTACAGACCACCCATCAGTTGTAGAACCCCTGTAGGATGGTCAGTACATGATGACAACACACAAACACTACAGACCATCCATCAGTTGTAGAAGCCCTGTAGGATGGTCAGTACATGATGACAACACACACACTACAGACCACCCATCAGTTGTAGAAGCCCTGTAGGATGGTCAGTACATGATGACTACACACACACTACAGACCACCCATCAGTTGTAGAACCCCTGTAGGATGGTCAGTACATGATGACAACACACACACTACAGACCACCCATCAGTTGTAGAAGCCCTGTAGGATGGTCAGTACATGATGACAACACACACTACAGACCACCCATCAGTTGTAGAAGCCCTGTAGGATGGTCAGTACATGATGACACACACACACTACAGACCACCCATCAGTTGTAGAAGCCCTGTAGGATGGTCAGTACATGATGACAACACACACACTGCAGACCACCCATCAGTTGTAGAAGCCCTGTAGGATAGTCAGTACATGATGACAACACACACACTACAGACCACCCATCAGTTGTAGAACCCCTGTAGGATGGTCAGTACATGATGACACACACACACTACAGACCACCCATCAGTTGTAGAACCCCTGTAGGATGGTCAGTACATGATGACACACACACACTACAGACCACCCATCAGTTGTAGAACCCCTGTAGGATGGTCAGTACATGATGACAAAGCAGTAGAATTTCCTCTGTATGTCTTTGATATTGGGATCTCATTAATTTTATATTATTCCATTTCAGGTGGTATTCAAGACTCCAGAAAATAGAACCTATTTTCATCAAATGGGTCAGCAGTTATTGGGAAGCTTCCTGATAAAAGCTGACAGAGTAAGTAATTTCACAATAAACATGATAAAGTAAGGGGTGTTATTTTGGAACTTTTCTCAATAAACCAGATAAAGTAAGGGGTGTTATTTTGGAACTTTTCTCAATAAACCAGATAAAGTAAGGGTTTTTTTGTGAAGTTTTCCCACCAAATCTGTTAATGTGAAGGCTGTTATTTAAGAATTTTTCACAACAAATTTGATAAAGTAGGGATGTTTTTTGGGAAGTTTTCACACCAAAACTGATGAAGTGAAGGGTGTTATTTAGGAAGTTTCCTGTAAGAGTTTGTTTCAGGACATTAAAGCTCTCAGTTCATGCATGTGTTTCTTTGATTCTTATTCAATAATAGATAAGTGATAATATCTGCAGACGTTTCATAGATTGTTCTCTGATTTTTTTAATGGTTGAGTTTGAAGTTTTATAGAAATGACGAAATTTTTATGTAGTGTTTGACTTTTTTTGTCTATCGAGTAAGTTTGAAATTTCTAAATCGATGATCAGACTTTTTCAATTTTTACATAGACTGGAGTAAGTATCCATATTTAATATGGTTGAAATCTTGATATGTGTGAAGGTTTATTTTGGAACTGTTATTTGATCTTACAGTCTTTTTATCATGGTGATTAGCATTATGTGACAGCCTTATTACGTCATCTGCCAGGATGACTTATAGCCATCGTGTTTTGTTCATCATTGTATGCAGTGCATAAACTTTTCATATGGCCATTGAAAGACAGGTCATATTATATTATCAAGTGAGTGGATGGGTACCGGTAGGCAGGTGCGCACAGGTGGTGTCCGCTTGATAACTTGAGTATTTATCAACCAATCAGCTTCAAATTCCATAAAGAGGTACAATACCATGATAGCTTGGACAAGATCATGGTAATTTTCAAACCATACTCCACAGAGTTAAGGCCCCTTATTCAGTTACCGAAACAGTATCAGCGCAACATCTCAAATAGTTTTCCACAGTTCAACTTCAAACTTCATAGACAGGCGATAAGTTGGACTTGTTTGATCACTGTAATTTTCTGACTGTAATTCATTGAGTTATGGCCCCTTATTCTGTTACCAGAACAGTGGCTGCTCAATATCGCAAGGAGTTATCAACAGATCAATTAAGACTTTATAGGAAATTTCATTACCATAATTGCTCAGACAAGACCACAATTTTTGGACCATAATTTATGGAGTTATGGCCCTTTATTGTTTTTATACAGAAACAGTGTCCATCACTTAGTATCAAAAGCAGTTTTCGATAGGTCAATTTCAAACTTCATAGGAGGGTTCTTTACTACCATAGCATAGACATGGCCATTGACGTTCGGTGGTTTACTCCAGTTTTATCTGCCATTACACAACTGACACTGTCTGTAAATGACCTCAACGTGTTGATTAGTCATTAAACATCACTTAATTTCTATCTCTTTCATTTGCAAAATGCTCATTTGACCTTCGATGACATATCATGTATTGCCTCAAGGAGCTGTTGTTTACATTTTAAAATTCTTCTCAAATTTTATCAATGGGATTGAGCTGAAACTTGCCTAATATGATCCTGACCAAGTGTTGCCACTTTTTGCGTCGGTCTTAAATCCAGAATGGCTGCCATCTTGGAAAAACATTTTTGACTTCTATTCAAGTTTCACTGGTGCCATTGAGCTGAAAATTGTTTGGAATGTTAAGGAAGGGAAGCAAGTTATAAATATATTTGACTTAATAACCAGGGAACATCATAAATAAGGAAATTTACAAAAACAAAAGTACATTTTGTTCACCTTTAAATCATGGCCATGTTGTAACATCATTGTGTAATCATAATTTCCCTGAACAATACTTTTTTAAACTTTTCTCAAGTACCATCATTGGGATTGATCTGACACTGAAATGATTCTGAGATGATCCTGACCAAGAGTTGATATTTTGTCCAGTTGCATTGGTGCCATTGAGCTGAATATTGCTTGGAATATTAAGGGAGGGAAGCCAATAAAGTGTTAAATGGTGTCCATTTTTGTAAAATGATTGACTAAACATGGTTGCCCTGAACAACACCTACTTGAAACTTCTCTGGAACCACTTGTGGATTGAGCTGAAACTTGCCTGAAGTGATTCTGAGATGGTTCTGATCGAATGTCAATATTTTTTGGTCGGTCTGATATCCAATATGACTACCATATTGAAAAACACACTTTAAAATTCTACTCGATTCCACAAGTGAACTGAAATTTTTGTGGAAATTTTAATGAAACTGAAATGAGGAGTGTTTTTGCTCTTCATGCTATAGTCTTACCACTATTATAATATCTTATATCAGATGACTGTAAAGCCCTATGGGCCTTTTGTTACCATTATGATGTTGATAACTTACAAGGCAGTGTACATCAGTTCCTTTGTAACTCCACTTACAGGACACTGACGACTTCAATCAGGCCTTCGCTAACATGATAGACTTTGTTGAAGATGCCAGCAACTGGGGCACCATTGAGGAGGAGCTTAGGGGGCGAGGGGTAAGGAGACAATAATTTAGGAAGGTGAAGGATTGAAGTTTGTTACAGAGGAAGTGGGCTCTGTACAGAGGATAGGTAATGAGTGGGGAGTGGGAATGAGTACTGCATGGTAGTGAGTATTGTGGGAAGGAAAGGTAAAAAGTGAAATGTGGAAGTGGGAACTGGGGGAGAAGAGATAAAGGGTGAGGATGGGAGTTGGTACTGTGGGGAGAAGAGATAAAGGGTGAGGATTGGAGTTGGTACTGTGGGGAGAAGAGATAAAAGGGTGAGGATGGGAGTTGGTACTGTGGGAAGAAGAGATAAACGGTGAGGATGGGAGTTGGTACTGTGGGGAGAAGAGATAAAGGGTGAGGATGGGAGTTGGTACTGTGGGGAGAAGAGATAAAAGGGTGAGGATGGGAGTTGTTACTGTGGGGAGAAGAGATAAAGGGTGAGGATGGGAGTTGGTACTGTGGGGAGAAGAGATAAAGGGTGAGGATGGGAGTTGGTACTGTGGGGAGAAGAGATAAAGGGTGAGGATGGGAGTTGGTACTGTGGGGAGAAGAGATAAAGGGTGAGGATGGGAGTTGGTACTGTGGGGAGAAGAGATAAAGGGTGAGGATGGGAGTTGGTACTGTGGGGAGAAGAGATAAAGGGTGAGGATGGGAGTTGGTACTGTGGGGAGAAGAGATAAAGGGTGAGGATGGGAGTTGGTACTGTGGGAAGAAGAGATAAAGGGTGAGGATGGGAGTTGGTACTGTGGGTAGAACAGGTAAAGGTTGAAGATTGTAGTGTATGTACTGTGGGAAGAAGAGATAAAGGGTGAGGATGGGAGTTGGTACTGTGGGGAGAAGAGATAAAAGGGTGAGGATGGGAGTTGGTACTGTGGGGAGAAGAGATAAAAGGGTGAGGATGGGAGTTGGTACTGTGGGGAGAAGAGATAAAGGGTGAGGATGGGAGTTGGTACTGTGGGGAGAAGAGATAAAGGGTGAGGATGGGAGTTGGTACTGTGGGGAGAAGAGGTAAAGGATGAAGATGGGAGTTGGTACTGTGGGGAGAAGAGATAAAGGGTGAGGATTGGAGTTGGTATTGTGGGGAGAAGAGATAAAGGTTGAGGATGGTAGTTGGTACTGTGGGAAGAAGAGATAAAGGGTGAGGATGGGAGTTGGTACTGTGGGGAGAAGAGATAAAGGGTGAGGATGGGAGTTGGTACTGTGGGGAGAAGAGATAAAGGGTGAGGATGGGAGTTTGTACTGTGGGGAGAAGAGATAAAGGGTGAGGATGGGAGTTGGTACTGTGGAGAGAAGAGATAAAGGGTGAGGATGGGAGTTGGTACTGTGGGGAGAAGAGATAAAGGGTGAGGATGGGAGTTGGTACTGTGGGAAGAAGAGATAAAGGGTGAGGATGGGAGTTGGTACTGTGGGGAGAAGAGATAAAGGGTGAGGATGGGAGTTGGTACTGTGGGGAGAAGAGATAAAGGGTGAGGATGGGAGTTGGTACTGTGGGGAGAAGAGATAAAGGGTGAGGATGGGAGTTGGTACTGTGGGGAGAAGAGATAAAGGGTGAGGATGGGAGTTGGTACTGTGGGGAGAAGAGGTAAAGGATGAAGATGGGAGTTAGTACTGTGGGGAGAAGAGGTAAAAGGTGAGGATGGGAGTTGGTACTGTTTGAGAAGAGGAAAAAGATGAGGATGGTAGTTGGTACTGTGGGTAGAAGAGATAAAGGGTGAGGATGTGAGTTGGTACTGTGGGGAGAAGAGATAAAGGGTGAGGATGGGAGTTGGTACTGTGGGGAGAAGAGATAAAGGGTGAGGATGGGAGTTGGTACTGTGGGGAGAAGAGATAAAGGGTGAGGATGGGAGTTGGTACTGTGGGGAGAAGAGAAGGGGAGAAGAGATAAATGAGGATGGAGTTGGTACTGTGGGGAGAAGAGGTAAAAGGTGAGGATGGGAGTTGGTACTGTGGGGAGAAGAGATAAAGGGTGAGGATGGGAGTTGGTACTGTGGGGAGAAGAGATAAAGGGTGAGGATGGGAGTTGGTACTGTGGGGAGAAGAGATAAAGGGTGAGGATGGGAGTTGGTACTGTGGGGAGAAGAGATAAAGGGTGAGGATGGGAGTTGGTACTGTGGAGAAGAGAAAATGATGAGGATGGTAGTTGGTACTGTGGGTAGAAGAGATAAAGGGTGAGGATGTGAGTTGGTACTGTGGGTAGAAGAGATAAAGGTTGAGGATGGGAATTGGTACTGTGGGGAGAAGAGGTAAAGGTTGAGGATGGGAGTTGGTACTGTGGGGAGAAGAGATAAAGGGTGAGGATGGGAGTTGGTACTGTGGGGAGAAGAGATAAAGGGTGAGGATGGGAGTTGGTACTGTGGGGAGAAGAGATAAAGGGTGAGGATGGGAGTTGGTACTGTGGGGAGAAGAGATCAAGGATGAGAATTGGAGTTTGTACTGTGGGGAGAAGAGGTAAAAGGTGAGGATGGGAGTTGGTACTGTGGGGAGAAGAGATAAAGGGTGAGGATGGGAGTTGGTACTGTGGGGAGAAGAGATAAAGGGTGAGGATGGGAGTTGGTACTGTGGGGAGAAGAGATAAAGGGTGAGGATGGGAGTTGGTACTGTGGGGAGAAGAGATAAAGGGTGAGGATGGGAGTTGGTACTGTGGGGAGAAGAGGTAAAGGTTGAGGATTGGAGTTGGTATTGTGGGGAGAAGAGGTGAAGGGTGAGAATGGGTACTGAAGTTCAGAGAGGACTTTTGGAAAGTGCGAAAGGCTAAGAATTGAGGTGATGTGTGATGAAGGCTACTGAATGCATTCTACAATATATCTCATTTGTTTATGCAATCTGAGCAATTCTATATAAGGGATGAAATAAGTTTAAATTGATATCAAACCTAGTAATTTTAAATTCCAGGTGAAATGCTTTTCATTTTATGACGTTGTCCTTGATTTTATTGTGATGGATGCGTTTGATGACCTCGCCAATCCTCCCTCCTCCGTCATCACGGTGGTACAGAATCGATGGCTGTCTAACGGCTTCAAAGAGACGGTAGGCTGTAACAGATCACCCTGATAGTGTAGAATAAACACGATCCATATACTTGTTTCTGTGTCAAATGTGCAGCTTTTCATTATCTTATGTCTCATAAAAATTTATGAAATATTAGAATTGACAGGAGATGTTGGGTTTTATTATCTAAATCAGCAGTTCATATCATTGTGTATTGATTTGATTATATTAACTATGTGTCACAAATAATACCATGAAAACGTTGAGGTAAATTGAATGTTATGATTTGTAGGCACTAGCAACAGCTGTTTGGTCAGTATTAAAGGCCAAGCGACGGTTACTGAAGGTAAGTTGTTGTATCCTTTTGTTGGTATCAGAATGTCAATAAGTTGTTTTGTTAGCTCATGATCTTGTTCAAATTGCCCTGGATCTATAATCTGTCAAAGAAGTAATTAATTAATTTTCAAGACAAGTTTTGGATCAATCATTCTCAAATGCAAGTTCCTCTTGGCCCAAAGTCCAGATCTGCTATAATTATAAAGTTTTACACCTTTGTAAAGTTGTTTGTGAACTACCGTATTTTTGCGGATTATAAGCCACTGCCATTTACTCAGTGATCGGATGTGCAGCTTATAAATCAATACTGCTTATATGTGGACGAAAAAAAACAGCAGAATGAAAAAAAAAGAGCATCTTCTGGACATCAGTTCCAGACCGTTATATATTTGGGAATATGTGTTGATCTTTCTGTGATGTATTCATTACTGATGCTACAACAAGATCAGTATTGGGCTTTGTAAAAATCTCCAGTAAACTTCTGTTATGTCATTGTATGTAGATTTCATTGTTTTGTTGAGCTATAGAGATACCCAATTAATTCCCTCTGCTCACAGATTTAGCTTTGTTTTATTCACAGTTTTCTGACGGGTTTATATCCAAATTTTACTCTATAACGGAACACACCAGTCCAGTATTGGCATGGGGCTTTCTGGGACCAGAGTCGGAACTCAAAGATTTGTGTTATTGTTTCAAAGTGAGTATCTTATCTGAAGTTTTTGAGTACATCTTATGTAAGGTCCACTCCTATATGCCTCCTATATTTTATAATGGGTTGTCCAGGTATTGTACTATTCCAAGGATGCTTGGCCTATTGTTTGTAACAGAGACTAACTCTGACCCAGATTTTTCTTTCTTTTTATTTTCAGGATCTGGTTTTGGGACTGATTAGAGACATTTTTAGTTTTGAGAAATCTCGTTACACAACTGTTGAAGATTTGGGTGAAGACATAGTGAAGTTAACACGGCATCGTATGGAGGAAGCTTCCAAACTGTTAATGTGAACAGGACCACATCATCAATATGTCTGTGATAATTGTTTATACTGTGTGGTGTGAACAGCACAAAGTCAAATGTCTCATCTATATACAACCTTGTTATACCCTTACTTAGTAACTGCTTTGTCTCTGTGTGTGTGTGTGTAAATTACACCAAAGGTATACCAAGTGAATCACTTGTTATCATTCATCTTATTGTTCCATATTTTAGTCAACGGAAATTTGGGGGGAGGGGGTTTTTCCTGGGGTATAAGTTAAAATTTGTATATCTTCAACTTTGTGTTATTTTTTATGTTAAATGATGATTTTAAGTCATGATAATTATGAGAATTAAATTTACAATATATTTTCATATCTCTCTTAGTCTTTAGAGGGATATTTTTTTATAATTTTTTCAAGGCATCAGCAAACCCGAATATCGAAACTTCGATACTTTGAAGATAATTTAGAATTAGATGGTATTTAAAGGTTATTTTCTTTATATATTTTCATATACTTGCAATCAGTTGTTTACACTAAAACATCTGATCGGTTGATCTACTTGTCTATCTTTGCAGACAAGAATAGGGGTCTGATCCAGTGAATAGTGAAAGTATTCACAATTTGCAAGGTCATTAAATATACATCATGTGTTATACTCACTTAGGATTTGTCAAATTTCATAGAAAGTTGGTTTCTCTATTAAGACTTTTCATATCATCTCAGAAAAGCTAGTTAATGACAGCACACTAATGTATATACTACTGTTTCAGAATAGCTGGGGTTAAGTTTGCATAGAAATGTGCTGGTAGACAGACTTAATAAAATCAACCTGACCTTATTTGAAGATATAATTGATGATGGGGTCTCTAAGTAAATATGGTGTGAAGTGTTGTTTTCCTGACAGTGCAATGTGTGTGTAAGTTCAACTTACAGTTTCAAGTACTTGTATGATAGACAACAATCGATTACTGACTTTTGTTGAATTTGTATGATGTTTTATTGTTTGACAATATAGACATGTATATATACAATATAGATCTATGGTATTATAAAGCATGAAAGATATATTATTGTATTTTTTTTGTTTGTTATTTTGTATTGTATATCTTAACTTAAATGTTCAGTAGTGCTATTTTTACAATAAATGATCATGTGACATGTTTACTTGATGTATTGGACTACTTTGGAGTAAATATATGTATGATATTTCTGATGAGTGGTGAGTATGAACCATTTATTATCACAAATTTGTATTTAAGAAGAAAATTATTTGTGTACTAATATAGATTGTAATAGATGTAGTTTTGGGGCTGTTCCAGAAAAAAGACATTCTCCTGGGGTGTTACTTTCTAAAAAGCCACACCACCTGTAAAATTTTGCACTTTTATTGACATTATGCTTCCATATTGTGTTAATACTGTTAACATATTAATGGTCTATAACATTTGGATTTACCTACATAATCTTAATTTCAGATCATTTAAATCAATTTAATTATTAATTAGTAACACTAAGCTACTTTGTCTTTCATTTCTTATTCTTTAGTCCCCACACTGAAAACAGGAATGTGTGGAATGTTTGAGACAGGTACATTTCATACTAATCATGACTAAGTCAGTCTTCTGTTGTATGATGTATGTCAGTAGAAGAGTCATTGATACTGTTTATAGTCTGGTCTGACCTGAGTCATGTCATGTGTTAAGTGCTCATCCAGGTAATTATGTCCATATTTGGAGTTGTCGTTGAATCATGCATTAAGTCAGATGAGAGTTTTGTTGGAAGCATAGTTTATAAAACTCTAATTTTAATTTGTATGTTATACAATGTAACAGTGAGACTTTACCACACATATATATATATTCCCTAGAGACTTGTGACAATATGGTAAAATTTTTATAGTTTCAACACACTTTACAAGACGTTTCACAGTCTTGGAAGCTATAAATATTTCTAACATTGTACTTGAGTAATGATATTTAATCATCAAATAATTCATGTCTGTTGTACTTAATATGGCTGTTTGAGTTTTGTTTTGTGGTTGCAGTTGGTCTGTTAACCTACAAGCTCTGCCCCCTTAGTAGCTGGGAATTTTACTTTAAATACACTGACTTTAGCCGGACTTTTAACTGGATATCTGCATCCATTTCTTTTCAGTAAACTTTAGTTTTGGTAAGCGATAATGATCTGTTTCTACCCTGATAACCATGGTGAACAGATATGGGAAAAAAATCTGATTCTATGACTAGTCTGCTAGTATACCTTTCTCTTTACATCTTTCTGATAAAACACTTTCCGCTTACCTGTCAACTCTACTGAAGAACTCAAATGCAACACATCAGCATCTACTCCCTGCTCCCCAGCAATCAACCTGATGAAAAATCCCTTGTTACCCTCTATGTCTGACATTTGTAAAATACTCCATACTACCAGACTCTCAACTAATGGAGATAATCAGCATATTTATTCACTTTCTCATAGCGATATAAATGTCTCAGAAAGATCAATTTGCCAGCCCTGCCATCTTTAGCATCAAGCTGAGTTGTGAACGGTATTTATGTTAAAAGACTATTTTCTTTGACTGCCCACTTGATTCATGAAAAATCCAGCTTAAATATATACTGGATGTAGTTCCTTATTTGGTCTCTGTCCTCTGCTAGCATAGCTTTATCCGGTCACGACCTTCCATGACCTTGATTCTGATACAGAACTGCCCCTAAATCATCATGAAAGGCATCAGATAAAACGCTTCCTAAAATTTACCTGTATTAAATGACTAGTAAGTTTCAAAATCGGTGTCCGGTGCCTCCTAACACTCCACACAACTGGTGTGTTCACAGCCTAGTCTTCCCAGGACATGCTATCCACATATCATTTAATGGTCTAGGTATTTTTTGCTAAACCCATGACATTTACATGACTGTAACCTGTAAATACCCAGATTCTTTCATCACAGACTTTATAGAGGCTAACAAGACTAAATATTCTTCCATCACAGACTTTATAGTGGCTTACAAGACTAAAATGCCGCCATTGTCTCTGAATCAGCACCTTTAGCATCCCTGCACCACTGATGGCATGTCAGTACACAAATACGACCGTCAGATCCTCCGCTCCTGATACGTTTCGACCCCTAATCTAAAATGTCCGTCTGTGAATGATTTCGAACTTTTGTCTTCTTCACTATAGTCAGCTGGACAATTTCTCTACCGACCTGACAGACGTACCTGTAACCGTTCTTTTGCTGTGACTACATAGGGATATCTGGCGTAGGACTGGTGTTCTGTCCAGGTCGACCCTCATTACCCAGTTATGGGCACAGTCCAGGTATTTGACTTCCCTACCTCTCTGGAACCTACAAATTTAATTAATAAATGACATGTAGCTGGGTTCCTCCTTCTCTTTATTGTTTCCTGTCCAATGTGTCAGCAAGTTCCTTCAGGGCTCTGTCATGTCTCCATCTGTATTGTTCCTTAGCGAGGACAACATTACAAACATACAAGACATGATCAGGTGAACATGTTTTCTCGCAAAGAGGAAAGTTCACATCTTCCATCAATCCGTCTTAAAAGTTTGTTGGTGATTGAGGCAGGTCACACACTGACCCAAGGAAGAATAGTATTCCATATGGTGTGCTTAGCCAGGCTTCTATTTTAGTTTACCACTTTGACCATGTCCTGTTTTCCATTTTCACCACTTTTGCTTTCTTGAATATTTCTCATACAGCCTCTTCAAAGTAGATAGGGAATTACTCGGGCCGAAGGGTATACGTCAAAACTGAAAAAAACCCATTAAACTTGGAGAAAAAAATGTTTTCTCTGTATGTTCTCAACCACTTTCATTTGTCTACTGATTCTGCTCTGAAAACAAGTAAGACAATGGCGATATGTTAACTAAATGTTAATTCAAACTCCAGTCAATTAAGTGTGAGCAAAATATGAGGAAACGAAATATTTACTTGGAGGGCCAGGTGTTCTGGAAGGGTAAGTGTCTTCAGCTTGAACATTATCCCTCTAAACAATTCATTACTAGAGCAGTTTTTGTAACCAATACATAATCTAAATTTCTCCAACCTTTTCCCCAAATTAGTCTTCTTATGTAGCATCTGGGGAATTTGAAACACCAACAATCTTTGGCGCTTTGAGATCTTTAAATATTCTGTCTCCTTTTCATACATGGTAGATGGGTTGTCGTATATACGAGTCTAAACGAGCTTTATTTGATGTTTCTACAATATCTGATTGGTTAGTTGAGAAAAATGCCTTCCAGTCTTTCATGGTCATTTCAACCCCATTTATTGTATTCAGATACTTAAAATCTAAAAGCCTCAATCCTACACTGTCTATATACCCGGTACTTCTATCTATACCTGCATGCAGCATTGATTCCTGTTCGTTGGTGTCACAGACTATTGTGAAATATTAATCAGACTCCACATTTCCATATAGCGCATGTCCCCCTCGAGAATACGAGAATTTTCTTATATGCGATTGCCTACCTGCAACAGCAAACTGCTTTTCTGAACCCGACATCTTTTATCGAAGTACAGTACTTACGGATAAGAATTAAGCTTGATTAATGTTAAATGTGTTTCACAAATCCCCCGGTGTCATCCTAATTCTACATCTCTTTACTGTACTCTCAGGGAAAGATTGTTTGTACCGAGCTTGGTATATAAGAACCTCACTGCAACCAGCGTGCTACCGCAGTTACCAAAACCTGTTTTGACAACGTGGTACACAACATGGTATGCCGACTAGTGAACTCAGCAACCAAGGTAGCAAACTATTGAGCCAAAAATGATTCAAGAACTTTTTGAATAGACGGGAAATTGGCAAAAACAAAAACAAAAATAACAATACAGCCCAGTTTTACACGCAGGGTAGTGAAATGGCTGATTTTGACGAAAAGGCAACCAAGAAAGAACAGAAACGAGATAGATGGTAACTAGAGCCATTCCAATTCTAAACTGAAAATGAACCGAACTCATCGCTACAATTTGCGATAGATACTAGAAAAACAACTGCAAGGTATGGGCAATATTATGATACGTGTATAATTAAGGGATTTCGTTCTCCAGCTGAACATAGTTTGATGAGTAATGTCAGTTTAGCAAGAACAAATCTTAACTGATAAGGGAAAACATTTTAAAATGTCAGAAAAACATTCTCTTGTGTCGAGTAAGACTGGAGTACGGTCAGGTCCGAGTAAGATTTCAATGTCAAGGCCATGACAGTGGTCAAACCTCCCCCGAGGTTATGATGCACGTGCTTAAAAAAATGAATAGGTACTCCTGTATGTGTAACTCTGAAAAGGATTTTGATGCGGGTTTTATGTAGGTATCGAGCCCATGACTAGAGGAACAAAATTCATTCCTATGGTTAAAGAATCGGTTTGCAACAATATTTCCGGACTTCAAGAAAATCTGGCTTTCTGGATGAGTTGAACTTGATCAGGGCAAGCTATATTGGTAGTAGTGTTGGTCGGTCGTAGACTGGGTGCTTCTGTTATAGTTTCAGGGTACTACCATACTTGTGGGGAAAATTCTTTAATTGACAGTATCAACCGGAAATCGACGCTTAAATCAACGGCTTGATTAGTATGTGATGTAACAGATTGTAGAACAGAAGGTGACTGGATGCTTGTGTAGCGAAAAGTAGTCAATAATCTACAAACTTTGTAAAATGTTTTTATTTCTTTCAGATTTTCAGCAGAAATTTGGCGATGAATCTTTATATGTAATTCTATGCATATACCTATGTATTTGGCTTGCCTGAATGATTTTATTTGATACGGTGGTACAAAAGACACGTAACACCTTTCAATACAACTTTATACAGTAGAGCCAAATAAAGATCCAAGGTGCATTATACATCTGTTTGATCTTTCTTGGATTCATGAAGGGTGTGAGGAATATAAGGTGTTGAATACCAGGGAAGGCGACCGCTGACATACCAATATTGGCGAAACAGCGAAATAAAGATGAAAAGGTACACTAACTTTGTAATTAAGAAAATTTAATAATTTTTAATATTGAATTATGTTTAAAGAAGGTCAAGTTTATGTATTTATTTTGAACCGTTACACTTATTCAAACGAATTTAAATGTGAAATGCAAAATAAGAAAAACAAAGCCGTGCCAAAGGTCGAGGGGGCTGAAATCGGCGCACGTCATCAGAATGTTGAAAAGTACTTGACTACATAACGTTATAATGTGGATTCTGTTGCAGACATTAGTGTGTATAGCGACCCATGACAGGAGAAGTAAGGGCTGGTACAATGGCTGTATAGTTTTCTAGAAATTTTAACTTTCAGATTTGTTTAATCTAATACATTTTGTGCAAGGAATCAACCAGAACAGGACGAGTTCCCTGGAGTCAAGATATGCTGGATTCATCAGTAGTATCAGTGTTGAATTCTAAATTACTTACAGATATGTAGACATTAATTATATAAGTGTTGATATTATTTATAGATGTGTAGACATTATTTATAGATGTGTAGACATTATTTATAGATGTGTTGATATTATTTATAGATGTGTAGACATTATTTATAGATGTGTTGACATTATTTATAGATGTGTAGACATTATTTATAGATGTGTAGACATTATTTATAGATGTGTAGACATTATTTATAGATGTGTTGATATTATTTATAGATGTGTAGATATTATTTATAGATGTGTTGATATTATTTATAGATGTGTAGACATTATTTATAGATGTGTAGACATTATTTATAGATGTGTAGACATTATTTATAGATGTGTTGACATTAATTATAAAGACGTAGACCTTTATTTTCAGACTGTGTATTACTGTGAATTTGTTCATGATTACGTACCTTTTCAATTGGTTATTCACAAGCAATTAATGATGTTCAGAGCATTAATTCA